CGCACACGACGACAAGGAGTAGTACAACTTCAGTCACGAGAGACAAATGTTATACTGCATATGTCAAAGATACTAATCGCGGAGGGACTCGGCTACAACTTACTGAGCGTCAGCCAGTTGATGGCGAAAGGCATTCACTTGGAAGCCGACAGTACCACCCAGGAGTTCAAATTATACCACGGGAAAGGCGGCCTCTACATCGGGAAGGCGGTCTTGAAGAACAACGTCTTCGTCCTAGACTTCGTCCCAGACCTGGGCACTGCAGACAGCGACGCCATCGTGAACTACACCGACTGGACACATCCTCCGGATCTTGATCCGGACTTCAGCCCTGAAGGCTTCTTGTACTCGCACACCATCCCTGAAGCAGAAAGAACACGCGCGTTAGCAACAATTCAACATTCGGCAGCAGCAGAAACAACATCGGCAGCAGCAGAAACATCATCGGCAGCAGCAGAAACATCATCGGCAGCAGCAGAGACAACATCGGCAATAGCAGCAGGACCAACGACACCAGTCCTCGTCAACGAAACACCACCAACACCCGCACAGTAGTTGAAACCAACTCAACGAGAAGTCCACAGAAGCGCAAACTTCGTTGCCAGCTTTTACTCCAACTCCGACGCGTATCGATGCTCACCCGGACACCGCGCCTCCGAAGACATATGGCACGCACGAATGGGACATCCAAGCAACACAGTGTTAAATAACACGATAAGAGCAGGAGTCCTAGACAAGGACTCATTATTACTACCCGACGGCAGAGAACTCCAACGGGCACGAGGGACTTGTCTTACCTGCCCCGAAGCCAACTTACCACATCGACCGTTCACTCCTCATCACAACCCGAGCGCACCCGTGTACACACCACTCGAGAAGGTGTACAGCGATATTCTCTTCAATCGAGAACCAGGACAAGTTACCTACAACTATACGATTACCTTCATCGACGCCGCCACTCGATACGTCTGGCATCTAAATCTACCCAGCCGCGACATGGCACTCGCAGCGTTCGCCGCCTGGCTACCAGTAGCAGAAAGAGAGTCGGGAGCACAGCTGAAAAGCTTCCAGTCAGACGGAGGAGGAGAATACACCTCTAAGCGATTCAAGCAGTACCTGGCGGAAAGAGGAATCAAGCAACTCCTCTCCCTTCCCTACGCCCATGAGCAGCAAGGTGTCGCAGAACGAATGAACAAGACTCTGCAGAACAGCATGCGCAAACTGTTACATGGCATGCGGCTACCCAACCACCAGTGGCCTGCAGCAATGGACCATGTTGTCATGCTGCACAACTTGATGTCGTCGTCCTCACTTCCGAACAACGCATCACCGCATCTGCTGTGGACAGGGAAACAGGGCAGCACAAAAATGTTAAGAGTTTTCGGGTGCATGGTACAGTACCAACCCCCAGAGGCACGAGCGGGAAGATTTTTCACAACGCGCACAGTGGGGACTACACCTCGGCATCGAAAAGAATTACAACGCGTGGAAAATCTTTGACGTCCACTCCAAGGAAACAGTAGCAGCACGTGATGTGATCTTCTACGAACGACTCACGCTTCAGACGTACCTCGCCAACTTGCACGAAAATCAGGACCCCACAGGTGGCTTTCGTGGTGACCGAGCCTTCGCCTCAGCCGCGGACGAAGCAGACTGGGACGAGCAGAACGTCGACAACGCATCAGAAGAAGCCGGACCCCTCCCGTTCTGCTCCGTCAACGTCCCCATGGACGAAGAAAATCCTCGCGAAAGCGCCAACGCCGAAGTCTTCTACCACTTCGCCGACAATGGTTACGTAACACCTACGACAGTCAACACCAACGAAGCAGAAAGAATAGGACCGAATTTCATAACCGGCCCAGAAACGGGAGATGAAGCAGCTTATCCCGATGACACAACACTCCCCCGCTACTCACAGACTGGACTGCAGATTCTCGGCCTCGTCACCGCAGTCCACGGCCATCCTCTTCCTGAAGAGCCTGCGACGGTTCAGCAGGCTCTGGGGGGGGAACACAGGGAGAAATGGCGTGAAGCCATGGACAGAGAATTAAAGGCCTTGGAGGAACGGAACACCTGGAAAGTCGTTCCAGTTAGCGTGGCAAGAAACAAGATCATCCTCACAGGGAAATGGGTCTTCCGCATCAAAACGAAGGCGGACGGCACAATCGAGAAGTTCAAAGCACGCTGGGTCGTGCGAGGATTTGATCAGGAACACGGACGGGACTTCACCGAGACATTCGCCCCGGTTAGCCGACACACCTCACTCCGAATTCTCCTCGTGATCGCCGCCATGAAGAAAAGGAAACTACGGCAAATCGACGTTGCTAACGCCTTCCTCTACGCACCCGTCGACGCCGAAATCTTCGTTGAGCTCCCACATGGTACCCACGGGGAACCTAATCAGGTTTGCCAGCTACTGAAATCGCTCTACGGAATCAAACAGGCCCCACGGCTGTGGCAACAGCACCTACACACCCGCCTCACCCGCATCGGATTCCGTCAACTGCCTCACGACCAAGGCATGTACCGACTCACCAAAGACGCCAACTACATTCTGCTTATCGTCTACGTCGACGATTTACTCTACATCGGTTCTACCGACGACATAACTACCTGGTTCGAAAGGGAGCTGAAGAGGGACCTCACACTCAAGTTAGCCGAGTTACCCAACTTCACTTTGTTCTGCGACAACCAATCTGCAATTCGCATCGCCAACAAGAGCGGATTCGCGAACAGAACGAAGCATATCACCCTGCAATACTTCTTCGTGAAGGACGAGATCGAGAAAGGGAAACTTAAACTATCCTACTATCCCACGTCCGAGATGGCAGCTGACTACTTGACCAAGAAGCTCGGAAAACAGAAGTTCGAGTACTGCATGCTGCTGACTGGACAAAGCCACGTCACCATCAGCGACACTCCAGAAGCGAAGGGGAGTGTTGGGAACAAATAGTTTAAGCGCCTCTGTCGTGTCAGAACTCAAGACACAAGCGAAGCAGCTCAAATCGAAGCATCGCGAGTCAACCCTCGGAAGTTAACGTAACCGCTGGAGGTTACGAGAAAGTCAAAGGTCAGCGACCTTTGACCTGACGCAGCGCGACAGCAAGGACACACAACTGACTCGACATTGAGCAGTTGCCCGAGTCGCACTATATCGAACCGCAACAGTAAAGTAGTCATAATGTCTCTTCATATTCTTTGTACTCATATATTTATTCCTGTATCTCTTTGCTTTAATCAACTTACTTTGCCCTCACATACTAGCGCAAGGTGGTTCAAGGACTTTATTCAACGCTTCCGCTATTACATCACTTACTCAGACTTTAACTCTACAAAGATCCTAGGGCTTTTCAGCCCAACAAACGGGACCGTCCGAATCAAATTTTTGCAACTTCGGACTGTTCGAAGGCTAATGTGACACTTTTTTGGGGCTGTTGATTTTTGCGACTACTGTAGCCTCGTTAGAGGCCTTGTATCTTCGTAATTTATCTAGCGACATTTTCGGTATTAGCTTCGTTGGCGAATCGTTATGATTTGCTGTACATTAAAATTCGCCCACCAATACCTAGCCAGAAATGGCGGACCGTCCGTTTGGGTTTCGGACAGTCCACGGTTCACAAGGCGGAGTGTTGGAAATGTGAATAAGTGTCACGACAGTCCGTTAGGTTGGCGACGTCGCCAACACCTCCGCGAAGACCTAAACGATAATCAACGAAGCAAGTTACATTTCGCCACGACGGACCGTCCGCAGTTCGAACCGTCGGGTGCAAAATGGTTACGCGCCCTAAGGAAAAGGATTTTTTCCTTACATTAACTCGTTACTGAATGAACTAAGTAGGAAGCCGAGTGAGTGTTGGACCAAACCAGACTTATGCACATTTTTTTTTCCAAGTGGAAACACGCTCAGCAGACAACCAGAATTCATTGGAGGCATCTGAGTGCTGAATCTTATGTGAACACAATTACTTGATGTAAAAATCCATTTTTTTTTCTAGATTCAATAAGGGCCAGCCAGTGGCCATTGTTTAGCCTTTACTGTACACTCGAACAGACAAGGCCATGCCCCATACAAAGAATGCAACCGTTACCAGCGTTATCCAAAGGCTTCCCCGCGCTCTTGCCACAGCAGCACCAAGCCGCTCCACTGATTTCCAGATTTATTCAACAGCCAGCAGGAGTCCTCTCCTCCTTGGGTTTTGAGCCGTATCAAAACCCCAACGTTACGCAACTCTATTCAACGGGCAACAGCGCTACTCGTGCTCTCCTTAGCTCTCTTGTGCTCCTTCCTTTCCTCCCCCCACTCCTTCCCCTCCTCTTCTGATCTTCGCTTGCAGCTACCATCACCCTGACTGCCCCCTGGATCAGTCGCACCGTCTATTTTCTCTCCCACCACACCCTCCCTGTTGTCACTCTTGTTAGTATCATCAGCATCAAGGTCAGTGTCGCCAACGTCAGCAGCAGGGGCGGGAGCAGCATGTGCATCAGCCGCTGAATCAGCAGCAGGAGCAGCAGCAGCAGCAGCAGGAGGAGGAGGAGGAGGAGGAGGAGTAGAGAAATCATCAGCGGTAATAGAGCTCTTGCTTTCAGACGCACCTCCCCCTGTTCCATCAGCATCAGCATCAGCAGAGGAAGGATGGCTCATCGTGCTGCTACCGCCCTTCAATTCACCACCATCCTTCAGCACCTCTCCCTTTCTATCTTGTCCCGCACCAGCTGCCGCACGTGCTGCTGTTCCTGCTGATTCTACAGTCTCTGCTCGTGCTGTTACAGCAGCAGCTGCTGCTTCTTCTCCTGCTGCCGCTTCTTCTGCTGTTTCTGCGGCTCCTCCTGACCTCGCTGTTGCTGCTGTCCCCCCTGGTTCTGACGTTTCTGTTGCTGATGTCAGAGGAGGGGAAGGAGAGGAGGCAGGAGAGCCACCTCTAGGCGACGCGGGTGGGGATGGGGATTCTAATAGGGACGGGGATGCTGAAGGGGATGCTGAACGGGATGGCGATTCCGGTCTAGGCGATCGCGAAGGGGATGATCTGGGGGATTGCGACGGCGACGTTTTCGGTGATGAAAAGGCTTTGGGCGAGGAGGAAGGAGACGACTTGGGAGAGGAGGAAGAGGGGGATGAGGGGGAAGAGGGGGAAGGAAAGGGTTTCGTGGATGACTCTTGCTCCATAGCCTTGCTGCTGCACCGATTTGGTCCTCCGTTGTTGCCCTTCCCTCCTGCCTTCTCACTCATCCTCTCTCCCCTCTTCCCCTCCTCCGTATCCCTCTCTTCCCTGTCTTCCTCGTTCCTCTCCTCCCGCCTCCTTCCGCCCTCCTCGCATTGCTGCCCTGGGCTAGACCTCTCTTCCCCATCACCCCTTCTTTTATCTCTCCCTTTGTCATTCCCCCCTCCTGATCCTCCTCCACCCCCTCCCCCTACGCCCCCCCCACCGCCCCCTCCTCCTTTTACCAGGGCAGATCGGGCCAACATTGCCCCCAGCTTTCCCCCAACAACAATCTTCCCCCCAGATATTCTCCTGAATCCTGCCCCACCATCAGAAGATTTTCGCTTCTTCTGCACACCTTGGAATGACCCATCCTTCCCGCCCGAACCTGCTCCTCCTGTTCCGCTCCGCTTCGGGCCGTTCCGAGCCTCTCCCCGAGCCTCTCCCCGAGCCTCTTCCCGAGCCTCGAAGCCTCTTCCCGAGGCTGGGGAGCCAGAGGAGGGCCGGGGGCTAGGAGGGAAAGGGGAGCAGGAAGAGGGGCGGTCTTCGTCATCCTCATCCTCATAGTCCACGAGCCCATGAAGAGGCTTCCTGGAAGGTGCCATGATGGGGATTCAGAGAGAAAAGAACAAAGCAGTTAGCAAAAGGAAAACAAGCGGAAGAGATGGAGAGAGCATGAGAAGGTGAGAGAAAAGGAGACAAGGATAAGCATAAAAAAGAAGAAGGATAGGGATATGATTTGACACCAGGGTAGGAGGGAACTAGAGTGGGCGGAAGACAGGGAACAGGAGGGGTGGGTGTAGAGCACAAGCGGCGAGTCAACAAAACCCCACCTGGAATTTTCTGGTGGAAGGAAACAGCAGCCCAACGAATCTCACCTGGAAGGCTCTGGTGGAATGATGCCGTTGGCAAGGGAGCGAGGTGGAGAGGGCGAGCGGGATTTGTGGCGTGGAAGGGGGGGTGTGCCTGACGGGTCGAGCACTGGTAGGCTGTCATCGTGCTCCTCCTCCTGTGCTGCTGGCTCGTCCTCGTCACTGAGTGATTCGATACAAGCACGGGAAATCATGTGAGCACTGGATGCCCTGAGAGAAAAGCATGTGATCTTCATTCTACCTTTTTATTATTTGGTGGGGAAGAAGGGGTGTGGGTGGGGGTCAGGCAAAGCAGGGCGGGGGTTTACAATTAGACAAAACCACACTGACAGAAGCAACAGTGAGGGAAGGACAAGGAAACAAGAGAGTCAGACGGCCAACACCATTGGAACACACCTGTCGCCTCCACTTTCAAAGTAATCCTCCTCCTCTCTCTCAAGCTCCCTCTCCTCCCTCACTCTCCTCTTCTCCACCCTCACTCGCCCTCCCCGTTCCATCCCCCCCTCCCCACTCCTCCCCCCTTCTCCCCCTGCCGCCCCCCCTCCACCACTCTCATGTCGCCACCTGTCGCCGCTTGATTGCACACTGATGGCTGTGGCTCGCGGCAAGTGGGAGGGCGGAGGGGCAGCAGAGGGCTCTTCTGCTGGCCGCATTGACTCAAGGTTCTGTTGTGAAAGAAAGGGAGGAGGAAGGGGAGGAGCAGGGGAAAAACAGTGAGGCATGGCAAGAGAAGCCGAGGTTGAAAGCAAGTGGGAGAGGGGAAATGCAGCAGAAGGCTCTTCTGCTGGCCGCAGTGACTCGAGGTTCTGTTGTGAAAGGGGAGAGGGGGGAGTGTGAGTCGGAGAGGAGAGCAGGAAAATGCAACTCTCAAACTGAGTGGGAGGGCGGAGGGGCAGCAGAAGGCTCTTCTGCCGGCCGCATCGACTCAAGGTTCTGTTGGGAAAGGGGAAGGACGAGGAAGGAAGGGGGAGGAGAGGAGAGGGGACGAGGGGGGGTGTGAAGAAATGTGGAGCAGAAGGCTCTTCTGCTGTCCGCATTGACTCGAGGGTCTGTTGGGAAGGGGAAGGACGAGGCAGGAAGGGGGAGGAGGGGAGAGGAGACGAGGGGGGGTGTGAAGAAATGGGGAGCAGAAGGCTCTTCTGCTGGGCGCATCGACTCAAGGTTCTGCTGTGAAGGAAAGGGAGGAAGGAGGAAAGGGGCGGGAGAAAAGCAGTAAGGGATAGGGAGAGACGTCAAGGTTGGAAAACACGGGAGGGCGGGGGGGCAGCATAAGGCTTTTCTGCTGGCCGTATGGACTCAAGGTTCTGGACCGGGATGGAGTGAAGGGGAGTGTGAGAGGGAGAGGCGAGCAGGTGAAGGCGCGTCAAATTGAGTGGGAGGGCGGAGGGGCAGCAAAAGGCTCTTCTGCTGGCCGCAGTGACTCGAGGTTCTGGACCAGGAGGGAGTGGGGGTGAGAGATGGGGAAGACGGAGGAGTGGGGGGAGATGGGAAGAGGGGGTGATAGAAAGTATGACCAACTGAGTCTAACGAGTCAACAGAGCAAAATGAGAAAAAAACGAGCTAGAATCTCTCGAAGCATTATGTTCGCATTCTGTCCCACGTGCCCTCCATCCCCTCCCATGCGCCCATTCCTCCCCTCCCATGCGCCCATTCCTCCCCTCCCATGCGCCCATTCCTCCCCTCCCATGCGCCCATTCCTCCCCTCCCATGCGCCCATTCCTCCCCTCCCATGCGCCCATTCCTCCCCTCCCATGCGCCCATTCCTCCCCCCCCATGCGCCCATTCCTCCCCTCCCATGCGCCCATTCCTCCCCTCCCATGCGCCCATTCCTCCCCCCCCATGCGCCCATTCCTCCCCCCCCCATGCGCCCATTCCTCCCCTCCCATGCGCCCATTCCTCCCCTCCCATGCGCCCATTCCTCCCCCCCCATGCGCCCATTCCTCCCCCCCCATGCGCCCATTCCTCCCCTCCCATGCGCCCATTCCTCCACCCCCATGCGCCCATTCCTCCCCTCCCATGCGCCCATCCCTCCCCTCCCATGCGCCCATCCCTCCCCTCCCATGCGCCCATTCCTCCCCTCCCATGCGCCCATTCCTCCCCTCCCATGCGCCCATTCCTCCCCTCCCATGCGCCCATTCCTCCCCTCCCATGCGCCCATTCCTCCCCTCCCATGCGCCCATTCCTCCCGCCCCATGCGCCCATTCCTCCCCCCCCATGCGCCCATTCCTCCCCCCCCATGCGCCCATTCCTCCCCCCCCATGCGCCCATTCCTCCCCCCCCATGCGCCCATTCCTCCCCTCCCATGCGCCCATTCCTCCCCTCCCATGCGCCCATTCCTCCCCTCCCATGCGCCCATTCCTCCCCTCCCATGCGCCCATTCCCCCCTCACCTGTTCGTATTTGAGGCGCAGCAGCTTGAAAGAGTCAACGTAGTCAACCGAGTCAAACCAGGAGCCGTATGTCTCCACTAGATGGGTCACCAGCGACTTGATATTCTCCTGCTCACATGCATGCATGGATGCACAATCACATGTATGAGGACAATCACAAGTACATGAACAGTGACCACACAGCCAATACCCAAGGTCCAGCACGGCCGAGTTGAGGAGGCTGTGGCTGATTGCTGTTGGCAATGCCGACACACATAACGTCCCTCACACCTTGCCATTGCACCAGCACCAACAGCAGTAGCACCAACCAGCACACCTTGCGAATGAACCCGACCAAATCAAGCACGGCAGAGTTGAGGAGGTTGTAGCGGCTGAAAGTTGCAATGCTGACACAGCCGCAGCACAGCCGCTACACACATAACACTCCCAGCACCTTGTCTTGAGCCAACACCAATGCACCTTGTGGATGAATTCAACAAGGTCCAGCACGGCGGATTTGAGGAGGTTGTAGCGGCTGCCATTGGTATTCACAATCCACGCACCCACACCACACGCCCACCGCCCCACACACAAAGCCAGTGCCCACTCACTCACCTTGCATATGAACTGGATGCTGTCTAAAACGGCAGAGTTGAGGAGGTTGTGCTGGCTGCTGTTGGTATTTACAGCCCACAACCCACACCACACGCCACCGCCCCACACACAAAGCCAGTGCCCACTCACTCACCTTGCGGATGAATTCGACTAAATCCAGCACAGCGGAGTTGAGGAGGTTGTAGCGGCTGCCGTTGGCTCTGAAGGCTGCGATCACGGGCTCAAACAGACGGTTCTTGACCAGGTAGCGCAGGTAAAAGTCGTCCTGGTGGGAGGTGGGAGGGGGCATGGCATGGCATGGCATGGGGAAAACGGTTTTCATCTGACTGGCATCACGGGCTCAAACAGGCGGTTCCTCACCAGGTAGTGCAAAGAGAAGTCGTCTTGGAAGTTGGGAAAAGTGAGGGAAAAGTTTGTGGTCTCGACTGGGTCCGGCATTGACCGACATTGACCGGCAATGACCGACATTGACCGGCATTGACCGGCATTGACCGGCATTGACCGGCATTGACCAGCATTGTTCCTTGTTACTTGGTAGGTGCTCGATGCAAGTACTGGTCTACCTTGAGGCTATACGTGGTCAACGAGCCGAGCCGAGTTTTACTCGGCTCGTTCCCAGGCACACTCGTACGAGCTTTGTTCCGAGCCGAGTTTTGCTCGTACGAGCTTTTTTTGGGCAAATGCAAGCTCGTGACTCGGCCAAAAAGCACGAGCTTTTCAAAAGCTCGTCCGAGCTTCAAGGAAAGCTCGGACGAGCCGAGGGAAGCTCGGCTCGTTGCCATACACAGAGCTGCATAACCCAACCTATGCCCCACCTTGTCCCTCCATCACTGCTGTGCAGGTGTACAAGGGAGGTACTAGCCTAGACGTGTCATGTACTTGCCTATGTTTGTAAAACTGGTGCCTAATAAAGATACCTAGCAAGCAGTCATCACACAAATATTACCATATCCAGACCAGGTCTTTCGCCCTGGAGAGCGTCAGTATTGGGTGGGGGATCGCAGAACCAGCCCAATGAGGGCAACAAGGTAGAACCACACCCAAACCCAAAAGCTCGGCGAGTTTCACAAAAAACTCGTCAGTGCAATGAGTGCTCGGCGAGTTTTGAAACCTCGTCGAGAAAAACTCGCCTCGGCTCGGACGAGTTATTTTCCCGGAAAATGACACTCGTCACTCGCCCTCAAACGAGTGCCTCGTACGAGCCGAGGCGAAAAACTCGGCTCGTTGACCATGTATACTTGAGGCTGACACAGGAGCGCAGGAATCACACAGCAGCCATTACCAGGTACCCCTCCCTGCGCCCCACCAGCTAGCTCAAGAGCAGGCTTGGGTTCAACGAGGGCAGCATTCATACCTTGAGGCTGATGCAGGAACGCAGGAATCGCACAGCCACCACCACCAGGTACCTCTCCCTGCGCCTCACAAGCTAGCTCAGGCAGAAAGTAGATACCCCCGCGGGTGGCATAGTACTATACCTTGAGGCTGATGCAGGAGCGCAGGAAGCGCACAGCCGCCACCACCAGGTACCTCTCCTTCCGCCGCACCAGCCGCAGCACCTTCTCCACCACGTTGTTGCGCAACACGTAGTACCTTGAATAGGAAGAGGGGGGAAGAATCAGGAGGGGAAGGAAGAGGCAGAAAAGAAAGCGGCAGGTTGTATCTGATTCATCCAGCAATGGGCCACCACGAGGTACCTCTCCTTCCGCCTCACCAGCCGCAGCACCTTCTCCACCACGTTGTTGCGCAGCACGTAGTACCTGAGGGAGCGGGGAAGAAGGGGGGAAATGGGGAAAGAGGGGAGAGGTGAGTGGCTTCAAACTTACGCAAACCAGCCCCGCACCTTCTCCGCCACGTTGTTGCGCAACACGTAGTACCTTGAATAGGAAGAGGGGGGAAGAAGGGAAAGGGGGAAAGAGGGGAGAGGTGAGTGTTTTCAAACTTTCAGCACCAGCCGCAGCACCTTCTCCACCACGATGTTGCGAAACACGTAGTACCTTGAGAGCGGGGGAGGTAAGAAGGGATCTGGGTTGAGCAGTTTGGTAAGGGGCATGATCTGGCACCCCTATAATGCGCAGCACCAAGGACCTGGGAAATTGGACAAGGGATGAGACGGAGGAGGCGAAGGTGGGGGTGGGGATGAGGGAATGCACAGAAGCACAGCCTGTTGTAAATGAGGCGGTGCAGTGGAGCATGAAGCACTTTTTTTTAGGCGCCTCAAAAAGGTGGGGATAAGGGAACGCACCGAAGCACAGCCTGTTGCAAATGAGGAGGTGGAGTGGAGCATGAATGAAGCACGGAGAATGGCGCTGGAAACACAAAGCACAAAGCACACAGCACAAGGATATGAGTCACTCACTTCATTCGGAAGCTGTGGTGTAGCACACAGAAGCACAGCAGATCGCAGATACTCGCCAGCACCTCAGGAGCCGGCGACACAACTCCGCCTCCTAACCCCCCTCCTCCACTACCTCCTCCTCCCCCTCCCACTGCTGCAGCAGCTGCAGCAGCGGTGGTTATCCCCTTTACAAGCACATCCACGTACTCCTCATAAAACACGTCTAGAAACTTGTTCTTTTCGGCCGTGTCCATGGTGTCAGTGTCTAGCAGCTGCCGCAATATTTCTAAGAGCTGCACGTGAGACCCCCCCTCCCCCTGACTGCGCTCCACCATTCCCTTAACCTGCCCAGGGAAGGCGGGGGAAGGGGAAAGGGGAAGGGAGGGAGGACGGCACTGGAGGTTCAGTTGAGTGGTGGGCAAGGGAAAGAAGAACAGATTGTACTTCTGACATGGAATTTTGAGAAGCATTCTTGCGACGTACACGGCAGGAGAAGAGCTTGCGACGTACAAGGCAGGAGAAGAGCTTGCGACGTACAAGGCAGGAGAAGAGCTTGCGACGTACAAGGCAGGAGAAGAGCTTGCGACGTACAAGGCAGGAGAAGAGCTTGCGACGTACAAGGCAGGAGAAGAGCTTGCGACGTACAAGGCAGGAGAAGAGTGTGTGGCCGGGTTGCTCCACGAGAAAGGTGCGCAGGGGGGCAGGGTCGGGACTGAGAGCTGACATGAGCATGTCGGTGCTGCAGTGGGGGAGACAGGTGGAGGGACAAGGGGCAAGAAGTGAAGGTCGAGGCATGGGGCAGTGAGTTCAGGAAGGTGCGCAGGGGGGCAGGGTCAGGACTGAGAGCTGACATGAGCATGTCGGTGCTGCAGGGGCGGAGACAGGTGGAGGGACAAGGGGCAAGAAGAGAAGGTCGAGGCATGGGGCAGTGAGTTGAGGAAGGTGCGCAGGGGGGCAGGGTCAGGACTGAGAGCTGACATGAGCATGTCGGTTCTGCAGTGGGAGGGGAGGGGGGGGGAGGGGGGGGGGTGTGGAAACAGGTTGACGGATGGGAAAGACAGCGGTGATTCGTGGTAAGACAGGGTAAGAGGGCAGGGTCGGGACTGAGAGCTGACATGAGGATGTTGGTGCTGTGATGGGAAGAGAGGTGGGGAGGCAAGGGGTGAAGTGACGGGGAGTGTGGAAAGAGGGTGGTGGAAACGAAGGAAGCGACAGGAGAAAGGGTGAGATATGGGGAGAAAAGAGGAGGACAGCAGTGGATAGAAGAGAAAAGAGGAGGACAGCAGTGGATAGAAGAGAAAAGAGGAGGACAGCAGTGGATAGAAGAGAAAAGAGGAGGACAGCAGTGGATAGAAGAGAAAAGAGGAGGACAGCAGTGGATAGAAGAGAAAAGAGGAGGACAGCAGTGGATAGAAGAGAAAAGAGGAGGACAGCAGTGGATAGAAGAGAAAAGAGGAGGACAGCAGTGGATAGAAGAGAAATGATATGGTAATTGGAGAGGGAGAAGAACAACCCATTGGAAAGCGGTCAACGGCCGGTGAGCAAGAGGGAGAACGGGGCTGAAAGAGCGGAAAGTGGAAAGTGGTGTTTAGCATGGGAGTGCACGGGAGGTTGAAACACATACCCGCAAAGGCGTAGGGAGGCGTCAGTGTGTTGCAAGATCGTGGTGACGATTTCAAATAGGCCCAGACCAATCAAAGCACTGCACGTGGACAGAAGGAACAGAGAGCGTGGTTGAAAAAAGGATGGGTTGGACTATCAGAGAATTTCCTAGCTTTGTTCGTACGGATTCGATGTTTTTTGTAGCGCCTAGAAGACTGATTCTGTAGCGCCTAGAGAACTGATCCTGCGCCTAGAAGACTGATCCTAGAAGACTGATCCTAAACGTCAACCGGTAACGCAAAGATACGAAAACAAAGCTGGTGCGTCGAGTATAAACGGCTGGGAAAAGAAGGGAAAGAGTAAAGCCCACTACATCTGCAACGCTCAGAAGCGTCAGAAACCCAGACTGAAGGGTGGGCACGAAGATACCTAAAGGGGGTGAAGCGAAGGTACCTGAAGGACTGGTTTCTTTGTGTGATCTGCAGGTGCTTGTGCAGCGAGCAAAACTCCTGTAGGAATCGAACCTGATGCAGGGGAGAATGAAAGAGGTGAGCGGACAGAGGCAGAGAGAGAAGAGATGGAGATGCTCGGTTGAAGGAACCCTTGCAAGAGTCTCACAAGCTAATCAGATCAAATTTCACCGAGCATGTCCGTCCGATGTTGCAAGGTCCCTGGACGTTCGAGAAAAAGGGCGTCTGATACACGCTAAATAAACCATGTCTCCACAACTCACGTCATGTGTCTGTTGGTGACAGGTACAAATGTTGCTTAGACTCTTCCCGTCTCACTCACCAGGTCTCTAAAGGCGGGGGAGGAGGGGTCTTTGGATCGCAGCTGGGAGAAGAGGTCCGAGAGGAAGGGCTTGTCTCCCTGTAGAGTGGATACCACCTGTGGATGGTGGTGGGAGAGAGAGGGATGCGCAGGGGGGAACCATGAGATAGGGCTGCTGGGGCAGCTGCTTACTGCCCTGCTGGGAGAATAGGTCTGAGAGGAAAGGCTTGTCGCCCTGTAGAGTGGACACCACCTGAGGGGGATGGTGGGGGAGAGGGGAAGGGGATGGAGCCTTGAGACGGGCAATGAGGAGCGATGGCTCGGAACCTCTTTGGATCGCAGCTGGGGAGGAGGTCTGAGAGGAAGGGCTTGTCTCCCTGTAGAGTGGACACCACCTGTGGATGGTGGTGGGAGAGAGAGGGATGCGCAGGGGGGAACCATGAGATACGGCTGCTGGGGCAGCTGCTGAATGCCCTGCTGGGAGAATAGGTCTGAGAGGAAAGTCTTGTCGCCATGTAGAGTGGACACCACCTGAGGGGGACGGTGGGGGAGAGGGGAAGGGGATGGAGCCTTGAGACGGGCAATGAGGAACGACCTTGGAGAATGGGGCAATGAGGAACGATGGCTCGGAACCTCTTTGGATCGCAGCTGGGAGAAGAGGTCTGAGAGGAAAGGTTTGTCTCCCTGCAGCGTGGACACCACCTAAGGATGGTGGGGGAGAAAGAGGGAGGTGGAGAGGAGAAATGATGAGATAGCGCTGCTGCTGTCCATGACACCACCTGAGAATGGTGGGGAAAAGGGTCGGAGGGGGGAAGAATGGAAGACTGCAAATGAAAACTCTAGGAATCTGGAACTGAACCTCTAGCACCACATGACAACATTTGATTTGAGAGTATCAACAATAAGAATTAACATCTTAAGTGCAACCCCTGATACTTCAGCTGTAGCTTCTGGGACCTGGGGTCCACAGCAGACTGCTATGCTTGTGTCACTTCGGAGAATTCTCAAAAGGGTGCACAACAGACTGCTATGCTTGTGTCACTTGGGAGAATTCTCAAAAGGGTGCACAGCAGACTGCTATGCTTGTGTCACTTCGGAGAATTCTCAAAAGGGTGCACAGCAGACTGCTATGCTTGTGTCACTTTGGAGAATTCTCAAAAGGGTGCGCAGCAGACTGCTATGCTTGTGTCACTTTGGAGAATTCTCAAAAGGGTGCGCAGCAGACTGCTATGCTTGACCTCTGCTGTCCCATTCCCACGCACCTCCACATTATTGAACAGAATGAGGGAGTTGAAGGTCCCGTATGTTTGGTCGTCCAAAACCCGCGGTAAAATCACATCCTGCCCGAGAAAGGAGGCAAACAAACAAACAGGGGAGAGACGGTGGGGGGAGTGGGGAAGGGTGGGCACAAAAAATCAGGTTCCACAAGGGGGGCACTGGACTTGGACTGTATGTGAACTTGGCACGGCGTCTCTCTCGCGCCGTACAGAAAAATGTGGCAGACTGAAAATAAATTGAAGCCCCAACAGACGCACCTTAAAGCCCCAATAAGCACGCACCTTGATGTACCCCAGGCGATATGTCTGATGAATCTTAGAGCGCAGGATGGGGACTTGTCCTGGATGGGCACGGCCTCTCTCTCTTACAGTACATGGGAATTTGGTAGCAGCAGCAAGCACCTTAAAGCCGCAAAGCACGCACCTTGATGTACCCTAGGCAGTACGTCTGGGGTACATCAAGGAGCGCCCATCTAGACCCCAGCCCTGGATGGGCCGTACCGTGCCCATCCAGGCCGTACCGTGCTTCAAGGAGCACCTTAACGCCCCAATAAGCACGCACCTTGATATAACCTAAGCGGTATGTCTGGTGGATCTTGGAGCGCGGGCTGGGGTCCTGGATGGGCACGGTACGGCCTCCTTCTCTCACACAACTCTGCTTAAACCTCCTTAAAAACTACCAGACCAGAAACGACCTGCAGCCACTGAAATGGTGAGCACACACCTTGATATAACCTAAGCGGTATGTCTGGTGGATCTTAGAGCGCAGGCTGGGGTCCTGGATGGGCACGGCCTCGCGATACTCCACTTGCTCTAGCAAAAACTTGCGGTGCTGCTGGCGCGATGGCAGGTCGGGGTCATCTGGTGGTGATAAAGGGGCATAGAAAGCGTGTGTAGGGTGACGGGGCACAAGGTAAGGGCACGGCCTCACGATACTCCACCTGCTCCAGCAGGAACTTGCGGTGCTGCTGCTGCGAGGGCAGGTCGGGGTCGTCTGGGCGTAGGGCATAGAGAGCATCTGGCGCGACGGCAGGTCGGGATGGGCATTAATGACGGGGCATAGGAGGCAAGTGTTTGGAACGGAAATGAGGTGAGGGTGAGGGCCTCACGAAACTCCACTTGCTCCAGCAGAAACTTGCGGTGCTGCTGGCGCGAAGGGAGGTCTGGGCCGTCTGGTGGACAGGGTATGGGGCACATGGTTGCATATGGATAGAACACCTAGAGCAGATACGGGGAATGGGCTCAGGGCATGGGGTATGTGGGTGGGGTATGGATGGGGCACATTGGTCATGGAGTGGGGTATGGTGGGGTACAGGGCAAGGGGCATGGGTCCTGGGGCATGGGGGATGAAGGATACGGTATGTGGGACAGGGGTTATGGGGGAAGGGTACACAGGAAACACCGCAAGCAAGGGGCACGCAGGGTACTGTGACACTATGATTCGAGTCTCCATGAGGTCCAGAATGGCACCGACGCCGCTGACGTGGCACTGACGCTGACGAGGCACCGACTTCTATGCTGACGTGGCATGGCACGTGGCACACTCACATTCAAGAGCCCCAACAAGGTCCAGAATGGCGTTGTCAGCAAAGAGCAGGTCGAACAGATTGGTGTCGTTGAGCAGTACTGCAGGAGAGAGGCAAGGGGGGAGAGAGAGGGAAAGCGGGAGAGGGCGGGAGAAGAGGGGGTGCCAGAATTGGGGATGGACAGACACATTGCAGACAAAATGACACACACACACACACACACACACACACACACACAAAAGAGAAGGTTCAGATTAGACACCATAAGCCCAAACCCTAGCACTGCACCCTGAACTCCAACCAATCAAGGCAAAAAGGAGTTTCAGCAAGTAAAACCCGAAACCGCTAACACCCCATCCAGCCCCTTGGCTGGCAACTTGGTACAACTGGTGCAGGCTGCAGCCTGTTGTACCAGATCCAAGGCTGCTTCAACCCTAAACCCGGCAATGTGTCCAGATCCTTCTCGTTCTGAATTGAATTTGGATGGTGCTGCACCTTGCTTCCACACCCCACACCCCACCACCCTCCACCCTCCACCCATACCACACACCCTCTATCCGAAACTCTAAACCCTGCGTCCCTTACCCAGACCCTTGGCAATGCGGTACAGGTTTGACTGGTGCTGCACCTTGCTCTCCCATCCCACACCCTAACACCCTCCACCCCACACCATACTCTCTAGATATACCCTACACCCTAAGCCCCCTCCCCCTTACCCAGCCCCTTGGCAATGCGGTACAGGTGGTGCAGTCCGTCGAGATTCTCCAGATCCTCGCACTGACGGAACAGGTCCAACAGCTTGGGCACGTAGCCCTGGGGTGGGGAATGGATAGGGAGACGAGGGTATGAGGAAGAGTGGGAAAGAGGGAGTGCTTGAAGATTCATCACAAGGCAGTGGGTCCTCCTTGCACTGGCGGAACAGGTCCAGTAGCTTGGGTACGTAGCCCTGAGGGGGCAGATAGGGGATGTGGGGATGTGAGGCAGGCAGGGAGAGAGACAGCGCTTGAAGTATCACAAGGGGCAAATCCTCGCACTGGCGGAACAGGTCCAGCAGCATGAGCGGGGGTGATGGATGGGATGGGGGAATGGGTGAAGGGATGGGAGGAAGGAAGTGGGCACCTCAAAACAAGCACGCCAAACACACAGGGAGTGTGGAATGCGAGCGCTGAAGGCCATAGCCCCCCCATCCCCATCCCCCCATAGCCTGCTGCTGCGCACACATCCTTCCAACCACCACCCATCCCCATCCCCCCATCCCCCCCCCCCCCCCGGTTCTTCCCATTGTGCCTCCCATGCCCCCCCTGCCCATTCCTTGTCCCCCTCCCAGCCCTATACCTCTCTAAGGACGAGTGAGGCGATTCGGTCTTTGTGGAACAACGGCACGTCTGTTAGCATCTGCAGGGGGGGGAAGGTGGGGGGGGGGGCGCGGGCGGGGGAGCATGGGGGCAGGGGCGAGGAGCAGAGGGAAGAGGCGAGGGGGGAGACGAGTGAGGCAATTCGGTCTTTGTGGAACAACGGCACGTCTGTTAGCATCTGCGGGTGCAGGGTGGGGGAAGAAGAGGGGGGGGGGGGGTGGTGAGGAAGAGAGAGGGTAGGGTGGCGGCAGGGATGAAAAGGGCGGGAAGGAAGGCGATAGGGGGGAGGGTGGAGGTTGACGGGGTGAGAGCTGAAAGGCTGGTAAGAGGAGCAGTCAGTCAATGAGGGACAATTCCTTATTAGGAACATGGTTGGGTGGGCAGGGAAGGAGAGTATGGGGAGAGGAGAGGAGAGGAGGGGGAGAAGGGTGGGTGAGTGTGAAGAAAAGACATTACTTTCCTGTCGAAGATTATTAAAAAGAGGAAGATTCCTCTTGTCTCACCTTGGCAATGACAGGAAGGTTCCTCAACTCCACTGCAGGTAATTCAGACATGTCTGTTGCTGCTTCAAGGGCTGGTAACACACGCAGGGAGAGGAAGCAGGGAGAGGAAGGAGAAGACGAAGTTGACCAACCGAGCCATCAGCAAGGAGCAATTTCTCAAGAAACCCACCATTCGAGTAACCCACCAAACCCACTATTCAAATAACCTCCTTTCAAGTAACCCTCCAAACCCACCATTCAAGTAACCCACCATTCAAGCAACCCACCATTCAATAACCCACCATTCAAGTAACCCACCATTTTCGGGGGATGCCTCATGAATTGCAATCTCGTCACGTGCTCCAGCCCCTCCTCCCTCTGCATTCCCAACAGAGCACAGCACCGCAGCGCAGGGGACAGCACAGCACAGCACAGCAGCGCCGGGGCAGCACAGTACAACACCGCACAGCACAGCACAGCACCGCACAGCACAGCACAGCACAGCACAGCACAGCACAGCACAGCACAAACACGGGGTACAGCGCAAACCCATGCAGCACAGCAGGAAACACAATTATCTCTTTGCATCCCACTGAACCCATAACACATTAAGTCGTGAGTGCAATCCATGATGACAAAGGACGAACACAACCAATGGCGCTACAATACTCATCACTTGAATGTTAATGTAAAACCAAAGGCGTGGGAGGAGTGTGACACACACATAGAGACACCCCCCCCCCCCCCTTTCTCCCCTCACACACACACACACTCACTCACCAGTGCCTGGAGACACCTGCACTTGGCGCTGCACGTTGCATATTTGCTCCCTGCGGGTGAGGAGCGGGAGAGGAGCGAACGGGAAATGAAAGGGTCAGGGACGATTGAGCACAAGAGGCTATAAGCGCAACAAAGCACACGGAGCACAGAGCACAGAGCATGGAGCATGGAGCACGGAGCACGGAGCATCACAGTGCAGCGAGGCACACGAGAGAGGCACGCACCATATGTAGGAGCATCCCATGCTTTCTTGAAAGCTCAGCGCCAGGTCTGTTGCTACCTCGGGGTCCGTCCACGAGATGATGGTGTCTGCAGGAGGGAAGGAAGAGTAGGGAGAGAAGGTGAGCGAGGGGAAAAGGGAAGGATGAGACGGTTAAGTAAGCAACATTGCATTGACACTCCCTCCCTTCACCCTCTTGCCGCTGGTAGATGTCATATGCTAATATGCGGTGCACCAGCAGTGAAGTGATGGTCATGGCACCACACACACACACACACACACACACACACTCAAGTTAACCCTTCACACCTTTTGACTCAACTCAAAGGTCAACCCTCTCGCCTACTTGACGCTGATTAATGTCATCTGCTGATATGCGATGCACCAACCGTGACAAGTGATAATCCCACACACACACAGACGCACATACACACAACCACGACCCTTCTGTTACCTTCTTGCCGCTGGTAGATATCATCTGCTGAGATGCGGTGCACCAGCAGTGTGGCGTTGTCCTCCTCGTCGATCACCACCAGCCCTATCGCGTCCGACCTCTGCCGCATGGGGGGGGGGGGGTGACAGGAGGACAAGCAGAAAGACAAGTACTTGATTGCACTTTCACGCGTTTACACCAGCAGCAGCGTGGGGTTGTCCTCCTCGTCGATCACCACCAGCCCTATCGCGTCCGACCTCTGCCGCATGGGATGGCGGCATGAATACATGAGGGCAGAAAGACAAGTATTAGAATTTCACGTGTTTGAGACACAGGAGTGCGTGCTGTTGTCCTCCTCATCAATTCAATCATCACCAGCCCTATCGCGTCCGACCTCTGCCGCATGGGATGGCATTGGAAAAAAGAAATGGTACGAGCAGCTCTTGAGAGTGTGCTTCTGAAGCACTTAACATATGCGTTGTGTGCCGTCCTCCTCGTCTATCACCACCGGCCCTATGGTGTCCGACCTCTGCAGCACGGCATGGGATGGTGTGGCATGAGGGCAGAAAGACATGTATTCGACTTTCATGTGTCTAAACCACAAGGGTGGGCGTTGTCCTCCTCGTCAATCTCCACCAGCCCTACGACGTCCGACCTCTGCAGCGAGGTCGTTTTTGAGGCGCCTCAAAAACGACCTCAATGGGCGTTGTCCTCCTCGTCAATCTCCACCAGCCCTATCGCGTCGAACCTCTGCAGCATCCCATGGGAGATACATCACGAAGGGGAAAAAACGCACATACACACACACGGGTATCTTACTAAGAAGCGCCTAGTGAACAGTGCTCTGCTGTGTACTGCCCTCCCTGTCAATCACCATCAGGCATCTGCAGCAGGGGACGGGTGGCATGGGATGGCAGCAGCACTAACCAAGGCCTGTCTGTTACCTTGTTGGATAAATAACTCTCTTCATACAACCAAACGTGATTCAAGCCAACGTTATTAGCTGCAACACCTGTCTTTCCTGGCTGTCCCCGTTGAACATTCAGGGAAAAGAAACAAACCCCTACCTCGAGATATTCCACTGACACGTGGCCTGTTCCCTTGTCATCCCACTTCCCATCGTCGTTCAACCGATACACCTTCACTCGCTGTTGGGGGGGGGAGGGGGGGGTTGACACATCCGCAAACGAGAGAAAGGTTACGACTGAGTGAGTAATTCGATTACACGACGGAAAGAGGAGCAGCGCCGCGCCATATTCTCGTTTAGGAGCCTTCAAAAGGTTGCCTGGGAGCTTGCGAGGGGGTGAAGTATCGGACAAGTGGCAGGTAGTAGCTCCACGTGGCAGGGGACAAGTAGTGGACAGTGCCTTCATTGCGAAGAGAGAAATTAGACGGCTACAAATCTGCCAGCGCAGGGGGAAAGCAGAAAGTGGTCGAAACGAATAACATGGTATCGAAACTTGTTTACCGTTTATTGAGAAAAATCTTGACAAAAAGTCGAAAAGAAAGCATTTGGTATTGAGACGTCCCGAACTGGGAAGACAGTTGACAAGGAAGCATCTGGCTAAGCGATCTTAGAGACACGGAAAATCGCTTGTAACAAGAACATTGAAGGAAAATACGGATCGGGAACGCGAAACGCGGGCAAAGTAAGTGAAGGGAATGGCGATTGGTAACGGCTATTGAGAGGTTTTAAAGGGCTTCTGAAAGGGCTTTTAAGTCGAATCAAAAGACAGCTCGACTACGAAACGGATCTGCACGCGCATCCACGTGCACCACGTGCGTCCACGTGCATCCACGTGCGTGCACGTGCCTGGAGGTGGTTGTACTCCATCTTTCCCGCCTGCTGGCCTTGTTGCTGCTGACCCCCCGCTGCTGATGCCGCTGGTTGCTGCTGTTGCTGTTGCTGCTGCTGCTGCTGCTGTTGTTGTGGTGGTGGCGGTGGTGACGCCGGTGGCTGTGGTTGTGATGACGGTTGCTCATGCTTGGTCGTTGCTTTACTAGCGTGCTGCTCTTGCGGCTCCGAATCGTCTTCAGGCATCCTTAGGAAAAGGTCTTAACCTTCTAAAAGAGTTAACCTTGATTAAGATGCTCAATTGACGAACCCTCGTTACTGGATGAAATCGGAGCGGCTCTTCGAAAGATACAGTCCGTTAAGACTCGTCATATGGGCGAAATCGTCAGAAATTCTTAAGCCGCTAACGCCATGGATGCGACAGCCAGCTGCACACAGCGCAATGCACAACAGAAACCGTCACCTTCAGAGTCGAGACTCGCGGCAAAAACCAGATCCCTTTCTCCCTCACTACACGGACATCGGACGCGTCTAGCCCCACGCGAACAGTCAACTCAATACCGCTAGCATCTAAACCTAATTGGTGCATGCACCGAGTAATTCACTAGCCCAAGGGTCAAAGGGAGCACGATCAAGCTGTCAGAGGCAGGACTGGATAAGCACACACGCTGAATAGTGAACTAACAAGAGCACGCGGTAGGTCAGCGCTCCTCCAAGGCGATTGACTGGATTCACTATTCTGTCACCAATAAAGTGGTCAGAAAAGGTGAACAGCTGATTGAATTTCGGGTGATGTGACTGCGAAAAGTAACCCGACGGCTGCTCCAATCCCGTTGTAGATAGTACCGGTGACGATACCAGAGTGGTAACTCAGCCCAAGGGGGAGGGGGAGTAGCTGGAGCGTGGTCGTCGTGGCCTGCGAAGTACTTCGAAACGTGATCTCGCGAAGATATGGCGGGAAAATGAACGGCTCAAATCAACCCGACACCTCGTCCAACAAGGACAAACTCGCCGTTTTACAAGAATATACAATCTAATACTACATGAAACTTCAGTAACAACACAAACAATGCAAATCTGCAAAACTGAGGGAAACAAGAGTGTGCTGACTCAAATCTGTAAGCTCTTCATGCAACCTAGCACATTCTGCATTCCCGTTGCAACCTATCATGCGCTTATGGAGCTTGCAGGACCTCTTCTTATATAAGCCCCTTTCAATATTTCTTAGACCCACTCCCGCCAAAAATGGATTTTCGAATGAGATGTCCGATGGAACCGCCACTGCTGCCACTGCTACTTTCTCCTGTTCCAATAGCGGAGCCTATTACAAGTGAGGATGGCGGGACGCCTTTCAAGCAGCCGTCCAAAGTTGAGAGTATCTGAATCATAACAGGGGTGACAATGAGGCAAAGAGTAAACGAAGAGTTGAGGGTCAAATATGTACAAAAACAAGGTACGCCATTCTTGGCACTGTGCAAACACAAGCGGAATGCGTGAGAGTGCCCTACAAAAACATCATCACAACGAAAAGAAGTAGTTACCTCAGTGAATTCTGGCCTGACAGCAGGGTCGGCAGCCCAGCAGCGTGTGATGAGACTGCTGATGCGAGATGGCAGGCCGGGAGGGAGAGGCGGGCGTAGGTTCCTGCACATGGACAGAAACAAAAAAGAGGACAAAATGATAGTGAAAAGGGGAAAACACACACATTTTACGCATGAAAGAAAGGTTGCATGCCCGCAAGCAGTTGTGCACCAGGGTGTTCTGGAGAAGAGATTATCCAGCAAAGCACCTTAACGTCGACGACTGCGAACAGCTGGCGAGAATATTTTGAGATGCTTGCTGAGAGCAATACCTTTGCAGGACTCCAATGGCTGCTTGAAGGGGCGTGAGGCCAGTGTAGGGCAGGTCGCCTGTGATGACCTCCCTGGTGAGACAGCACACAATGGGATATGTTGTGCGGAGAGGGGAGATGATGGGAGAAGATGGGAGACGGTGAGAATTAACAGGTGACACTGGGAAATGATGGGACTAGATGGACGAGAATGGAAGCGGAGGGCAAAGTGAAGAATGCATGCACAGGGAGGTGGGGTGGGGATGTGGGGAAGTTGGGCGCAGCGAGTATGCATGACAGCTTGGCAATCGGGAAGTGAAAAGCACGTGCATGGAAAACTGCACAGGAAAGAGACCCACCACATGGTGACACCGAATGAGAAGATGTCAGCGCGATGGTCGTATGGCTGGTGCTCCATGACCTGCCAAGGCAAGCAAGGTCAGCGAAGAGAAGGTGAATGTGAAATGTGTCAAAGCTTGACTAGCGTATGGCGGGTGGTACAACATCTGAGCGAGCAGGAGAACCACTGCAAGTGGAGAAGCTACAGAATTGACTCAGAAGGGGAACTGGCAAAGGACTGGGAGAAAGAGAATGGCAAAGGAATGGGTGCACCCGGAGGTTGCGGCACCGTAAGTGGGGTGTACCATCACCTGCTACCTCAGGTGCCATCAGGTGTTACCTCAGGTGCCATCAGGTGCTACCTCAGGCGCCATCAGGTGCTACCTCAGGCGCCATCAGGTGCTACCTCGGGTGCCATCTGGCCGTGACTTGGCTGTGGGTTCTCTACACAGCTGCCCTGCCTGCTTTGATGGCAGCAATCTCGCCATCAGGTGTTACCTCGGGCGCAGTTAGGTGTTACCTACCTCAGGTGCCATCCAGCGGTAGGTGCCTGTCTCTGCTGTCATGTCTGACTGTGATTTGGCAGTGGGCTCTCCACACAGCTGCCCTGCCTGCTTCAATGGCAGCACGTGTTACCCCAGGTGCCACCACGTGTTACCCCAGGTGCCACCAGGTGTTACCCCAAGTGCCACCAGGTGTTACCTCAGGTGCCGTCAGGTGTTACCTACCTCAGGTGCCATCCAGCGGTAGGTGCCTGTCTCTGCTGTCATGTCGGGCCGTGACTTGGCAGTGGGCTCCCCACACAGCTGTCCTGCCTGCTTCGATGGCAGCAGCCTTGCCACTCCAAAGTCACACAGCTTCACCACCTGAGGTTCGTTGGGAGGATGAGGAGGAAGGTGTCAGCGTGGGTCCTGAACTGAAAGTCCAATTGAATAGTCGATGGTTCAGTTCAGTGGGAGTGGGCTCCCCACACAGCTGCCCTGCCTGCTTCGATGGCAGCAGTCTCGTCACTCCAAAGTCACACAGCTTCACCACCTGAGGTTCGGGCGAGGGAAGAAGGGTTGGAAAGAGGGAGCGGGAAGAGGAGATAGAGTGAGGGTGTGGGAAGAGTGAGGGCAGCACTGGGAGTAACTGGGGACATGACTATGCTGCTACTGGCTCGCCCCACACAGCTGCCCTGCCTGCTTCGATGGCAGCAGCCTCGCCACTTCAGGAATAGTGAATACAGGAAAGCAAAGAAGGGCAGGGTCGGGAAAGAAAGAGTGCGGGCTACGAAGAGAAATATGGTCCTGGTGCATGATGGCCTTACAGTGAAGAAAGTCCAGCCCTCATGCTGCTTCCCTCTCAGCCACATCCCACCACTCTCAACCACATCATGTCACTCTCAACCGCGTCGCACCACTCTCACACCACTCACATTGTTCTCACCCACCAGCAGGTTAGCAGCCTTCAAATCCCGGTGCACAATGCCCCTATGGTGCAGAAAATCCAGGCCTCGGGCTGCATCCCTCTCAAACACAACACTACCATCCACTCACACCACTCTCAACCGCATCACATTCCTCTGAATCAATGTCAACCACTCTCAACCACTCACATCGTTCTCATCCACCAGCAGGTTAGCAGCCTTGAGGTCCCGGTGCACAATGCCTCTCCGGTGCAGAAAGTCCAGCCCGCGTGCTGCATCCCTCAGGATCTTGAGCGCCACTGGCAGGGGCAGCCCGCACCCCCTCTGGTCCAACACGTCCCGTACACTGCATATGATAGGGAGGATGAGCAAAGCAAGGCGCAGGAGGACGAAGAAAAAACACGGGAAATGAATGTCCTTGCAAAGAAGCCAGTCCAGCCCCTTTTTGAGAATTCTTAAAAAACGGCTTGCAGTGGGAGAAAGCTATATGACGGTGACAAAGAACCGAGGCAATGCCATACCGCCATATCTGCCCCATGCCATCAGGTCTGTGACAACGAATAGCAGCACGGGGCGGAGAAGAAAAGTGGACTCAACACTAAACCATACCTGCCCCGTGCCATGAGCTCTGTGACGATGAATAGCCGCGGCCAGTGGGAGCATGCCCCGATGAACTGTACCAGGTTCTTGTGCCGTACCATCCTGGCAGATAGCACAGGACACGCAACAGGCAACAGACATGAGGGGACAAAGAGAGATGAAGTTGAATCCAAGGCAAGTGTGCGAGTCTAGAGGCAACCACAACCCAATGAACTGTACCAGGTTCTTGTGCCGCACCATCCTGGCTGGCAGAGCAGACAGCACAGGATAGAGAAGGCACATGGACACAGAAGACAGAGAAGAGATAGTGACGTTATCGAGGATCGACGCTACGAGGGAGGAAAATGATGGTGTGTAATTCATGATCATTATTAAATGAGAGAAATTATAATTGTAGTGATAATGCAAAAATTGAATCCCCAGAAATGATGTAGCACTAACTAGTTGGGTAAAAAAAGGAAGAAAAAAACTGAAAACCTATCACTCCCCCACCTTCTCCACTCCCACTCCCACACGCCCTAAAACACACTACAGGACACTGTAGTGCTCCTCATTATAATCACCTCGTGTTACCACAACGCACCTCATTATAGCGACCTCCTGCTTGAAGCACTGTAGCAATTCCAACGCTGTAGCACTCCGCATAGACACTGACATGCCCGCATCCCCCATGCTTTCCCCCCCATTTGCACGGGCCCTATACCACACTAACTGACTCTCCAACGCACCTCATTATAGCGACCTCCTGCTTAAAGCACTGGAGCAGTTCCAGACCCGTGGCGTGGCACTTCTCATAGACACCGACATGCCCGCATGCCCCACTCCTTTGCTCCATTCCCACGGGCCCTATTTCACAAGTGACTCCAACGTACCTCATTATGGCAACCTCTTGCTTAAAGCACTGTAACAATTCCAGCGCCGTAGCACTCCGCATAGACACTGACATGCCCGCATCCCCCACCCCGGCCGGCCCTCCCCTCAGCCCACCCCCAGCGGCGCCCATATCGTCAGCAGCAGCGAGCGTGATGACCTTCACTGCCACGTCCTGCCCTCTGTACGTGCCTCTGCACAGCCGCCCTGACGCCCCTCCGCCCAGCCTCTCGCCTATGCCCAGCTGTGAGAGGTACGGGGGGATGGGAGTGAAGGTAAGATGGGAACGGTGGGTAGAGAGGGGAGATGGGAAGGCAAGGGGGAAATGGGAGAGTGTATGAGACGGAGGCTAAAAGGGAGAGAGATAGAGGGAGAAAGGCGGCCATATAATCTGGAGCAGCGAGTATGATGACCTTGACTGCCATGACCTTGTCTCACATCATGCTAGTCCACCGCCCAGTCCTCATACGCCATGGACTCCAACACTGCCCCCGTAGTTACAGGCGCACAGGAGGGCACAGAGCCGGTACATGCAGGGAAGGAAGAACCAATGCCTGACTCTCAACTCACATCATGATAGTCCACCGCCCAGTCCTCATACGCCATGGCCTCCAACACTGCCCCCGTAGCTACAGGCGCACAGGAGGGCACAGAGCCGGTACATGCAGGGAAGGAAGAACCAATGCCTGACTCTCAACTCACATCATGGTAGTCCACCGCCCAGTCCTCATACGCCATGGCCTCCAACACTGCCCCCGTAGCTACAGGCGCACAGGAGGGCACAGAGCTGGTACATGCAGGGAAGGAAGAACCAATGCCTGACTCTCAACTCACATCATGGTAGTCCACCGCCCAGTCCTCATACGCCATGGCCTCCAACACTGCCCCCGTAGCTACAGGCGCACAGGAGGGCACAGAGCCGGTACATGCAGGGAAGGAAGAACCAATGCCTGACTCTCAACTCACATCATGGTAGTCCACCGCCCAGTCCTCATACGCCATGGCCTCCAACACTGCCCCCGTAGCTACAGGCGCACAGGAGGGCACAGAGCCGGTACATGCAGGGAAGGAAGAACCAATGCCTGACTCTCAACTCACATCATGGTAGTCCACCGCCCAGTCCTCATACGCCATGGCCTCCAACACTGCCCCCGTAGCTACAGGCGCACAGGAGGGCACAGAGCCGGTACATGCAGGGAAGGAAGAACCAATGCCTGACTCTCAACTCACATCATGATAGTCCACCGCCCAGTCCTCATACGCCATGGCCTCCAACACTGCCCCCGTAGCTACAGGCGCACAGGAGGGCACAGAGCCGGTACATGCAGGGAAGGAAGAACCAATGCCTGACTCTCAACTCACATCATGGTAGTCCACCGCCCAGTCCTCATACGCCATGGCCTCCACCACGGCTCTCAGATTCGCCAGCTGCATCTGCTCTGAGGCCTGCTTCACGTCCCGCTCTCTCCACTTGATGCGCACCACGTGTGTCAACGCGTCCTGTAGCTCCGCCTCCTGATGTACACAAGACGGGTAAGGGAGCGGAGGAGCGCAGGGAGGGGGAGGGGAGGAGCGCAGGGAGGACATAAAAAATGCACGTCTTGCTCTCTCCACTTGATGTGCACCACGTGTGTCAACGCGTCCTGTAGCTCCGCCTCCTGGCAACGCAAGACAGGGCAGGGCAGGAAGAGAAGGGCAGAGGGGGGAGGGCAGGGAGGATAGAAAGTGTGCGATGGCTGTGGCCGGTAAGGAACGAACGGGACGTTCTCTCCACTTGATGCGCACCACGTGTGTCAACGCGTCCTGTAGCTCCGCCTCCTGATGTACACAAGAGATAGCAGGGCAGGGAGAGGAGGGCAGAGAGCAGCAAGTGTGAGATGGCTGTAGTCGGTAAGGAAAGAACGGGACGTTCTCTCCACTTGATGCGCACCACACCACGTGTGCCATTGCATCCTGTAGCTCCGCCTCCTGGCATACACAAACAGGTAAGGGAAGGGAGGGAGCGGAAGGCCAGGGGGAGATTACGTACAGAAGGACGGTGAGTCAGTGAGGTGTGTCAGGGCGTCCAACTTCTCCGCCTTCAGACCAACACAAGACAAGACGAAGTTTTGAGATGCATGTCAGGAATGATGCACCCAGGAAAAATGCACGTAGATCAACGAATTTCTGGTGAGCTGATTTCGACTAGGTTGGAAAGCACATTCATACATAAAAGTTCTGGTGGTGCTTGGACATGGTGACCACGGGATCTAGTTATTGAATACCTTAACATACAAGGGTCAAAACATGAGAGCTCACGAGGAAAAGCAAGCCCATACATTGGCGTAGAAGTTCTGGTGGTGCTTGGGCGTGGTGACCACAAAGTCCTGTAACGCCATGCCATCTGACGTGCTGAACACATGCGCCTCCTGTGTTGGGGATGAGCAAACAATGTGCAAAGATGTGCGATGATGTGTGGAACGAGAGAAGAGTGAACTGGAACAGGCATGCAGGGAGGAGGAGGATGCAAAATCAGCACCCCAGGTTGAATTTCACGCACGCAAAAACCAACCTCAAAACAACAGCTTCAACTCACATTGATGTTAACAACAGCTTCAACTCACATTGATGTTAACAACAGCTTCAACTCACATTGATGTTAACAACAGCTTCAACTCACATTGATGTTAACAACAGCTTCAACTCACATTGATGTTAACAACAGCTTCAACTCACATTGATGTTAACAACAGCTTCAACTCACATTGATGTTAACAACAGCTTCAACTCACATTGATGTTAACAACAGCTTCAACTCACATTGATGTTAACAACAGCTTCAACTCACATTGATGTTAACAACAGCTTCAACTCACATTGATGTTAACAACAGCTTCAACTCACATTGATGTTAACAACAGCTTCAACTCACATTGATGTTAACAACAGCTTCAACTCACATTGATGTTAACAACAGCTTCAACTCACATTGATGTTAACAACAGCTTCAACAGCTTCATGTCCGAGTTTGCCAGTGCCGAAGTAAACCACTTCAGCAGCCCCGGTCTATCTATGAGGCACACCACAAGAACCAAACCCAGACCAACACCTCCCCCACTCACATTGATGTTCAGCTCCATGCCCGAATTCGCGAGCGCTGAAGTGAACGACCCACTTCAGCAAAACCCAACCCCAGTGTATTTATGCAGCACCGCAAAACCCAACATAGACAACGACTCCCACTCACATTGATGTTCAGCTCCATGTCCGAATTCGCCAGTGCCGAAGTGAACCACGTCAGCAGCCCTGGTCTATCCGGGGCCGCAATCGACACCTCCCACCCGTACACATACCCGTCGCCCTCCGCCCCTTCCACGCCTCCCGGCCCGTGCCAGCTCGACCCCCCACTCCGGCTCTCATCCTCATCCACATCTGTCCCTAGACTCGACACGGACCCTCTCGACCCAACCAGGAACCCTCCGCCGCTCCCCATCCCTCCCGCACTCCCCATCCCTCCCGCGCTGCCCAGCCCTCCTCCCAAACCGTCGCCCCTCAGGTCCGACGCTGACGAAAACGGCACGCCTTCCCTTAACGTCGCCGCTAACGAGAAATGACTGCTGCTTCCCTTGTTGTTCCCGATGCTGCCAGACCCAAACGGCGACCGGCCAGTAAGCGATCCGGATTTGCGGCCGGTAGAGGTGGGAGCAGCTTGGTTCAAATCCACTGCAGAGGAACCTGCCGAGCCTAGACCGCTCAGGCTGTAGCAGTTAGGCGCGGAGGAGCCGAATGTGGGTTGCGGGATGAGTCGCGACAGGGTTCCGGGACAGGGGATGGACCTGCGAGCCGGATGGGACCCATGAAGCTGCGGCTGTGACCCAGACCCCGACAGACCTGATGCCCCCGATGCTCCTAGAGTCGCTCCTGACGCTCCTGCTGCCGCTAAACCAGATGCTCCTCCTGCTGTTGGTAACCCTGATGCTCCAGAATCGGAAGAGCCTGCAGAAGCAGCACTCCCGCCAGCCGCTGCTACCGCAGCGGAAACCGCTGCCTTTTGGGAACCTTCCAGGCTTCTGCCGGACGGGCTATAGCTTGCATAATCCGAGCTGTGCCGCCTCCTGGGGGAACTCAGAAATTCCCCTGCGTTCCCCCCGCCTGCCGAACCTGACGACTTGGCTCGGCCGAGGCAAACCCGTCGGACCCGGACGACCGGGCCTTGGTCTGGGTCGGTTTGGTTGAGCGTGCGAGCCTCGTTGATGAGATGCATGTGGAGCAACACGTCCTCATGCCGCTGTGGGTTGACGCTGAGAGCGTACCTGCGGTGAGGCGTAAAGACGGGAACGGACAACTCAATGAAGGAAAAGAGAGTGGAGTGATGTGTTACGAGAAAGTGTGTAACGTCGTGCACTGGGCGCCTTGAGAAGAGATGAGACGCATGTGGAGCAACACGCCCTCATGACGCTGTGGGTTGACACTCAAAGCGTACCTGCGGTGAGGCGTTGGGTGAAAAACGGACAAGTTAGAGGACATAAACAGATTCAGATATGAAAACAGTATGGCGTTTACTACCGACAAATACAATTCATGTTTCGGGACAGTTAACGAGCCCGGCATGTTCCTCGGATAAGCGTGCTCGTAGGAAGTAATTCGCGCGACTGCGAGGAGATTGCAGACAGCGGCTAAGTACGATGGAGGAAAGTGCAATTGCAGCGTGAATATGCGACAGATGATAGGACGGCGTCCGGTGCGACGACACGAGACGAGCGAAAGAAACTTTTCAAATGTGACGGTATACGAAATCTGCTGTCCAGAAACTGCAGAATCCAGTCAGCAAAATGACGGAGTTCTGAACGGTAACCCCAGCTTCAGGGAAACACAACTGGAGATTTTGTCTCCAGCAGCGAGACCTGAGAAAACAAGACTTCACAACTAAATAGGCTGGTCGAACACTGAGGTCCGACTCCTAAACCTCAGCCTGTTTGTTGTGCTACATAAGTCAGGTGTCATAGGAACACTAGGAACGCTAGATACGCTAGGAAAGTTAGGAACACTAGGTGCGTTACCTTGACGGCAGCGTTGCGAAGTGCTTAGACACCGAGTCCTGAACCTCTCTACCATGTCCGTCCCTCTGAACATTCTCCAAAACGATCCGCAGAACCGCCTGACAGAGCGACTGCTTCACGGACAGGCCGCCTCCGGTTGCCGGAGCCGAACCGACAGGTTGAACCGGCGACGGGAGGTCTTGCTTGAATTCGAGCGACTGACCGAGAGCGTCAGGAGTGGACAGCGCGTACGACAGGCGACTGAGGTCTAGCGCGGACGAGGATGGGGAGAGTGGAGGCTTAGAGCTAGACGAGGCAGCCATGACACCCATTCACATGGACATGAGGAGGCGAGACGCCTGTCTGCGATGTGTTGGTCAGTTCGTAGAAGTAGTCAGTCTTTACAAATTGCTAGCCGCCTGCCTGCACGAGAGAAGACTTTCTTGAGCAGTATTCCTTATCTCGGCTTCAACACACTAAAGACTCCGTTATCTCCGTGACACCAAACGTCAGTATCGCAAGGACAACACTCCTAAATCTTGACGACTAACCCGCCATCACCACAAAACGGATTCCGTAAAGCTGCTGAGAAAAAACGAACAGATTACTTCAGCGAACAAGAATCTAAAAAGATCCACAAAAAGGTCAAATCCTGCTGTGACTTGCAAATGAATTGTCTCGGACGGTCCTTGCTGTAACTTGCAGCAATCAGCTAGTGGGGGATTGGGGAGGTTTGCTTCTGACAAACGTGCTGCGACCAGAGTCAAGAGAAGGTCGGGGACGAGGTGAGCTGGTTTTAGCCGTGCTGCTGGTTGGTTGCGCACCAGAAGTTCGCCTGACAGCCGCCATGATACTAGTCATGGGACGGTTGGGATCACCAGAGATGGCTTTCTGGACGGTTCAGATGAAATCACGAGGGTTCGAAAGTGGGAATCAGAAAACGGATTATCATGAGATTCGCAGGACCAGCATCGAGGTGTGGCTGCGCTGGATGCCCCACTTGTCACGAGGAATTCCGAGAATCATCATTCGCTGTCGGATTACAGCAAAACGACCATCCGAGATCTGGGGAGTCAGCGCTATCGCTTATTGACGGAATTTTTTCCCTTCCGCTTCTCTAAGGGAGAACCATCCCACTTGACGGAGCAGGCTGAACAAGCATAAAATTGATGCTGCCATAACAACATGCAGTGATTCTGTCACGACAGCACTGATCCGCTGAACTTCACACGCGACGCGATTCATGGCCGACTGTGGTTGTGCATGAGTGTTTCAGGGGGTAGTTTATTATGCAAAATAGCTACATTCCACATAACTCCCACACATATTCCACAATGCATTCGCATGTGTAATAAGTGAGGGGGTATATAAATGCTCTGGTTATACACACAATACTCTCTTCTAGCTAGATGCCTTTTTCCTTGGTGGCACCATCACTTCATCCACCGTGTGCACCACCACAAACTCGTTTGTAATAACTTCTGCAGCTACAAGGTGAGCCCCATCGCTTGCACTTTCCCCACCAAATTGCACCCCAGGAACAGCGAGGCAAACCAAAGGATGTCTCGAAGCTGTTGGAAACTGCAGTTTAAGGGAAGAGCAATATCAAAATATCAAGTCAGTGGGTGGTTTGAGGGCCAAAGATGCATCATACAAACCTTGCAAGGTCCGCACATGAACAGATTGTTTAAGTACAGTGTTTCTGTGTGTGACGTACCTCGTCACCGGGTGCCGAGCTGCGAAGATCAGCTGCAGTGAGTCTTGTCTCAAGGATGTGGAAAAGTAGCACCTAGTGCAGGGGGGGGGAAGGGGAACAGGAGAAGGATACACAGGCACATACAAGCTGAAGAAGCTGCACAGCTATCCTTATATGCAACTGATGATTGGTGTGCATAATTCTGCACATGAGCACACAACTTCTTCTGTGCTTAACAAACACTTACCATGATCTGCTTGTACCTGGATAATATTCTGTGGGTTGTCCGCAATAGAGTCAGCAACAGCAGGCGCCAAGTGATCCCAAGCATCGTTTGAGGGCACCATCAGTGTCAGCTCTTGGGTCTCGAGCTTGCGGCATAGATACTCCTGAAGCTCTGTACCAGCAATCGTACAGGCAGAAGAGACATAGAGACGCTGAAAGAACAGATAGCCACGCTGAAGAATCTTTCAAGTCGACTCAAATGCAGCCTCCTGAGTCTCGAGCTTCCGGTATATATACTCCTGAAGCGCTGAAACAACCACCGTGCACGCATAAGGGACATAGAGAGACCACAGGTAGCCACTCTGAAAACAAACAAGTTTCTGAAACAGCATATGCTGGAAAACACAGCATGCTCAGCAGCAGTTCCAGCTGCTTCTCATGCACCCACTCAACACATCTGCAATTCTTGGGATTTTTCCAGAAGCCCACGTCCACTCACCGGCCTTCTGGAGCGCGTCAGTGAAGCGAGAGAGCCCTTTCTTCTGCAGCGCTGCCAGCACAGATTCGCATGCCACTCGCCCATGGTGTGCCCGGGCCTGGGCCAGCGCAGGGTCGCCAGAGACTGCTTTCATCTGCAGGATATTGATGCATGGTGAGCAACACACAAATGAGACTAGTGCTGCCTAACAAATAACACAAATCCATCAGAAAACTGGACTTTGTATAGGTTAGCAAGAAGCCCACTGTTGACTTTGGTGGCTTTACAAATGGTGGAAGGAGCTGGCAAGGAGGGAAGCAGGCTAGTACAATGTTGACGTGGCAGGCGCACCTGCCCGCAAAATGTTGGCGAAGCAGGCTCGCTGGAAAGCACGAGGAATGCTCACCTGCACGAGGGGGCGGATGAACTGGCGCGAGTAGATACCCGGGTCCATGACATCCGTGATTCCATGCACGGCAATGCTGTCTCCCACATATGCATTAGCGCGCGACACCTGAGCAAGGGTGGGGAAGGAGGCCAAAGGAATGAGGCCACTTGCACGATAGGGTGCAAGGTGAGGCACGGGTATAAACCTGGGTCCATCTGTGATTCCATGCACCGCGATGCTGTCACCCGCATATGCATTAGCGCGAGACACCTGAGGAAGGGAGAGGAAGAAGGGAGAACCACAGGGTTGGTGGTAAGCCAAGGGGGATGGGATCTCACGAGTGATGCCCGGATTTGAGTGATGTCGTGCACAGTACTGCTGCCATTGATACATTGTCCGCAACATTTGCGATGCAGACTGGCTCACCCAGGTGCAGTGCGGTTAAGGGACAGAACAACGAGGTAGTGAGGTACATGCGGGCCGTAGGGCGAGCCTGCGGGGCCGAACTCGAGGACGCGCGCGAACACCTTGACGAGGGCGACGTTGGAGGAGTAGTAAGAGGTAGTTAGTACGGTGCAAAGCGGTTGACCATGGCGAGCCTGCGGGGGCGAACTCGAGGATGGGCGCATACACCTTGACGACGGCGACGTTAAGGAGAATCAGAGAGAGACAAGGAGAGAGAGTACGGTGCAGATCGGTCTAGGGACAGAACGAGGAGGTTTAGAGGTACCTGCGGGCCGTAGGGCGAGCCTGCGGGGCCGAACTCGAGGATGGGCGCGTACACCTTGACGACGGCGACGTTGGAGAGAGTGCCGTACTGCACGATGGGGTGAGCACAGATGAGGAAGGGCGACGAAAGAAGAGGGATGGTGAGCAGAGATGAGCTGAATGCGCTGCCACTCGTGCGCAGCATCGAGAGCAGCTGGCTGGCCATAGCTGGCTGAACAACAGAGCTGAATGCGCTGCCACAATATGTGTCAGCCTCTTCTTGACGATGTGGAACAACAGCTGGCTGGCCGTGGCCCACGGCAACTCGCGCAGCCGACCAGAACCCCTCCCTTTTCCCCCTTCCCCACCTTCCCCTGCCCTTCCAATTGCTTGCTCTACACCAGTTTCGCACCTTGGTTTCGGGACGAGCAGAGCGCAGCCGACCAGAACCCCTCCCTTTTCCCCCTTCCCTACCTTCCCCTCTTCTTCCATTTCCTTTCTCCACAGCAATTTCACACCATAGTTTCGGAACGAACGGATCGCAGCGCAGCTGGACATGCGTCAGTCTCTTCTTGACGACGTGGAACAGCGGCTGGCTCGCCATGGCCCACCCCCCTCTCCCCACTCCCCCCCTTCCCGCTCAACGAACCCCGTACTCCAATTCTATACCAGTTCCGCACCTTAGTTTCGGGGCGAGCGGAGCGCAGCTGGACATGCGTCAGTCTCTTCTTCACGACGTGGAACAGCAGCTGGCTCGCCATGGCCCACGGCATCGTGCGCAGCATCTCCTCGTCTTGCGCCGGCATCGCCGCGAACGCGTCGTCGGTCGGCGCGAGGAAAGTGACCCCCGTGCGCGCGCCGAAAGGGGACGCGACATACGAGTCGATCAGCTTCGATGCGCCTGGGTAGAGAGGGGTTATCAACAGTTCAAACGGGTGAAAGAATTATTCCAGAAAGTTCAACTGACGGCATCGCCGCGAAACGCGTCGTCGGTCGGCGCGAGGAAAGTGACCCCCGTGCGCGCGCCGAACAGGGACGTAACGTACGAGCCAATCAGCTTCGATGCGCCTGGGTGCAGAGGGGTGATCAACAGTTGAAACGAGTGAAAGCATGATTCCAGAATGTTCAGCCGACGGTCCTCCCGTCACCATCAACCCCCCGAGTGATGCAGGAGGGTCAGGTGCGTCTCTCGTGGCAGTGGGGCGGTTAACGGTGGCAGGAGGATCGCGGTAGACAGCGTAAATGAGGGATTTTTCGAGACTTCACGAAGACAGCCCAAATCGATCCTGCTATTAGTCACAGGAGGATTGCGAGTCAGAGGACCCTATCACAAGAAAATAAATAGTCCGAGGTTTAATTTTGTCGAAAATCTCAAACCCAGACAACGACTCCGATTCTGCACCTCAGAACCTGTAACCCCATTCGAGGCGCCTCAAAAGTTGAGGGCTCCGATTTCAGGGTCTTAAAAGCAAGAACACGGAACTCTAAGAGATTGCCTCGGGGTTTCTGAGCACAATCCGTACCTGACGATTCCAGGGCCTTCAAGAAAGAGCCGAAGCCCTTCAGCGTATCTCTCCACGGCAGGTCATCGGCGAGGGATCGAGGCGTGACGCTCAGAGCCGCTAGAGTCAACGTTAGGAGCACCAAGAAACTCTTCATGGCGGGCGAATGTTCTTATATTGAGCGGAGCGGACGTCGATGTAGCAGAATGTGTGTGAGCCGGATGAGTGGTGGTGATGGAAAAACACGATTAGTACTGGCGGGTGATTGCGTGTGCGAGCGGTGTCGCTAGACAGCGAGAAGCTGACGGACGTGGCCACGATTGTCTACAACACGACACTAAAAGTAATCATCTTATCGCACAGCGACACTTTCTTAGGATTGGAAGGAGTTTAGCTTTTGCCTGAAACCTGCTGGTTAACACGCAAGAGGGATCAATACAGCGAACGCAAAATAAGAAGGCAGCTCTGTCTGTAGCCCGGAAAGCGTTCACAGGGAGGCTCGGTAAGCCCAGAATGGCGGACTGATGGTTGCAGGAGGGTGAAGGGAGGTGACCCAGGGATAGGGAATGGACGGTGCTTCTGACGTTGAAGTTTTTTTGGCCGACACTGGCGTGGTGGGGTGGGGTGGTACAGGGAATGGGGATGGGCGGCTTTCAAGAATGGTTTGGCGGGAAATGCCTTGAATCGGGTCGCGCTTGATGTTTTGTGCCAGAATATGGAATGCGATTCGGAGCATTCACATTTTGAAATTGGTTACAGCACAACTCAATAAAAAAACGTGAATCCCTCCTTCAGCTATTTTCGCAAAACCTTACTACTACATCACAGGAGCTCCTTCATGCAATCCTTGTTGAAGCCAATTCCTCAGTTCAAGCTGGCAGGAAACACAAAAACAGAAACAAAAGATGTCACAAAACTCACCACATTCCTCATGTCCGCAAGAAGCAACAGCTGTTCGGGCAAAATACTTACAGGAACACGTGGATTCTTGTTGATAGCCTCTTCTAGCTCGTATGCAGTAACCAGCAATCGGGCAGGTAAGAATTCAAGGTCCTCCACACTGGCTGGTTGCTGCCCAGAGACAACCGCTACAAAATTGGCATCTATAAGCCGCCCGTAAGCCTGTTGAACACAGTGGAATCAAAAGAGGGGGTGTAAGATAAAACCACTTAATGGCACAACTACTTATGTCGCAACGAAGTGGTGTAACCATTGTTGCGTGCACAGTGCAACATTACCTGTAAGGCGGATTCTTGAGAGAAGACATCAGAGACAGAGCCTCTGGCCGCCACTCTCCGAGACTCATACTCTGGCCAAGGGAGGGATGGGTGGAGGTGTGGGTGTATGGATGGAGTGGGAGAGCGGCAATCATGCAGCCGAGACAATATAAGCAAGATTGCGGGATTGACGCAATAACAATGTGGAATCAATGGCAGCCGAACAATGTCCCCGTAAATAGCATGGTACAGGGTTGAAGAACTAAAAGGGCACGGAAGAGAAAGGCACCAGCCCACCTTTGAAAGCTGTGTGGAAATTTATAGGGTGTGATCCACTTGCTGCTCCTTCGACTGTAGTGCCGCCTGCCCCACCAGCTCCACCAGCCCCACCAGCACCAGCAGCAGTGCCACCAGCGCCAGCCGCAGCACGTGCTTCGGTGCGGTGGAATGCCACTAGCAGATAGAGCTCCAGGACTGACAGGCCTGTGTGGGTGCCAGAGGGTCGGAGGTGGAAGGGAATGGTAAAGTCGACTGGAAGGGAAAGGTAAAGTCGACTGATATTCAATTCCGAATCACTTGAAAGCATCTGCTGGCGGATGGGCTGTGTGGTTGCAGCATAGGCTCTTTCAATAATTGGACACACACGGACAAGTCTAGGGTCTGGCCTTCTTGCCTCTTGAGACGTCTCAAAATGAATCACCTGAGAGCATCTGCTGCCGGATGGGCTGTGTGGTGGCAGCATACGCCCTTTCAAAATCAGCCACCGAAAGAGTTTGACCTCCTCTCCTCACCATCTCGCACACTGCTCGGAACCTGCGGGCAGAAAAAAAAGGGGGGGGGGGGGGGGGGGGGGGGGGGGATGAGCGGGAGGGTTCCTGAGCACAGCAGAAAGCAGTGCAAAAAAAAATGTGTGGATTTGCCATCTTGTCAATTTACCCGAGCTTGAAAATGTGTGGTGCTGTGCGGTTGACCGCGGTCGACTGCAGCAAAACGGCCAGCACCGAGGGATGCTGGAAAACCGCTTCCACCCGTTCGTTGAACCCCGCTGCGAACGCAGCCCAAGAATCGGTGGCGTTAGGAGGAGCATTGGTAGCAGGTGCAGTGGTGTTGTGGTGAAGTGGAGGAGCAGATGAATCAGGGTTGGGAGGAGCAGGGGAGACGGATGGTGGCCTCTGCGCTGGGAGAGTGAGGGTTGAGTGAAGCAATCTGTGAAGGGGGGGAGGATGAGGGGACACAGAGTGTAACTGGGGACTGAAACAATCAAGAGCTGTTTCAGGTTTAAGTTCCCACCCTCCTTGGCAGGGTTGAGTGAGGGTTGAGTGAAGCAAGCTGTGAAGGGGGTGGAGAGGAGATGAGGGCGCACTGTGAATCACTGGAGATTGAAGAAATCAAGAGCTGTTTGCAGGTTGAGTCCAGCACTGGTTTACAGAGTAAGTCTGCTCCCGCCCCTCACAGGGACAGCTCCAGCAGTTGAAGCGAAAGTGTGCAAAGGGGCTGTACCTGACAAGGTCGTGAGGCGCAAGGGGCTGTACCTGACAAAGTCGTGAGGCTGCGGCGGAAGGAAGATGATTTTGCGGTTGGAGAAGCGCGATCGCACTCGCTTCTCAAGCAGCTGATCCGCGTCCTGAAGGGAGAGGAGGGGTGGGCACACGACGAATGCAAGAGAGCGAGTCCGCGTCCTGAAGGACCATACGAGGGATCCAAAGGACCAGGCAAGCAGCATGTGTGCATGAGAGAGTTACCAGGGTAAGGAGCATGTGCCTGGTCCGAAAGGCCAGGCAAGCAGCAAGGGTAACTTTCAGAAGATGCAGGTTTTGAGGCGCCGCAAAAACAGAGTTACCATGCAGCAAAGATAATTTCCAGGAGATGCAAATCTTGTGGAATGAGAGTAACTCAGTCACAGACCTGAGAGGCGGAGACACCAATGACAGCCAGGTGTGTGTCGGGAGAATGCATGAGATCCAAGAGCAGGTAGAGTATTCCCTGCTTGCCCCTCTGTGAGAGGTGGGAGAGGAGAGGGAGACAGTGGGGGATGAGACAGGTGCGTTTTGAGTTGACTCGGAACGCAAGGGAGAGAGTGCATGAGGTCCAAGAGCAGGTAGAGTATTCCCTGCTTGCCCCTCTGTGACACGATGTAAAGGGAGGGAAGAGGGGGGGGGTGCAGTGGGGAATGCCGCAGGTGTGGCTTGTGTCAATGCGGAAGACATGGAGGAGGGCGCATGAGGTGCACGAGCAGGTAGAGTATTCCTTGCTTGCCCCTCTGTGGCAGGAATAGAGAGGGAGACGGAGGAAGGAGGGGGAGGAGGGAAGTGCACGGGGATGCTGATAGGGACGACGAGAAAGAGGCACATTGAAGTCGTAAAGAAAGTGCGCGAGATGCATGGGGTGCATGAGGTGCATGAGGTGTAGAGTCTGTTTTTTGAGAATTCTCAAAAAACAGACTCATCTACAAGAGAGTGCATGAGGTGCAACAATATGTGGAGTACTCCCTGCTTGCCCCACTGTGGTGGGGAGAGGGAGAGAGGAAGACAGCAGGAGGGAGGTTCATCTATTGGGGATACTCACAGAGGCAAAATGGTCGAATTCGTCCAGCACCACAATGAGTGACCTTGTGGCTTTCGAGCAGAAGTGGCATGGGGCGTTATGGGGAGACTTACAGAGGCAGAGGGACTACTGAGGCGCCTCAACAGTGGGCTCATTACAAGGGGAGGTGCATCTATTGGGGAGACTCACCGAGGCGAAGTGGTCGAATTCGTCGAGCACCACAATGAGCGATCTTCTGGCTTCAGAGCACAGCCTGCATGCAGAGCATTGTGTTGGGGTGGGTGCTAAGAAAAGATTATGAGAGTTGACTTTTGGGTCGACTCAAAAGCTTAAAAGAGATGATGAGAGTATTCAGAAGCACGACGCAGAATCAGCTGGTTGGAGAGCAAAGGGTGCAGAGCAGAGGAGGAGGAGGATGAAAGAAGGAGACGAAGCAGGCATGTGGGAGTGTGGCTTCTTGGGTGGACAGGATATTGAGAGGTGACAGGCTAGCAATCATGTGGATGTCACAGTGCAGCGCGGTGCAGCGCGGTGCAGTGTAACATCTCATTGAGAAGGCAAGAAGGAGGTGGCGGCTGACTGAGGGAGACAGAGTGAGGGAGGTCAAACCACCTGGGAGTCCTGACGCATGAAAAGCACCTGAGCACCTGAACAAGCACCTGAAGGTGCAGACTGCCACCTGAGGATCTAGCACCTGAAGGGGCAGACGGGCACCTGAAAGGCAGACGGGCACCTGAGGACGTGGTGAAGCATCCAGACGTTGTCCGAGTAGGAATGCTGGCGTGTGATTGGTGGAGGGGAGAGGGAAAGGGGAGGGGGAATCAGGACAAGGAGTCACATTGAGAATTGCGATGCGGTGGGGAGGAGGAGGAGGTAGCGGTGTAGCAGCAGAGAGAAGGGCAGAGGGAGGAGGAAAGTCATTGTTAAGAGAAATTTGAACAGTGACTTAGAGTGATGGGGAAAGAACCACTTTGAAATCTCAAAGTGACTCAGCGTACCAGGGAGAGAGCGTTGAGGTGAGGTGAGGCAATGTTTGAGTCGCCTGGGAAAGGACTTCATTTTTTGTGCGACTTCTCTCAAAGTGACTCAGATTACCAGGGAGAGGGAATCGAGGTGAGGCAGAGAGGCTGACAGCTGGCGAGCCATTTCCTGGAGAGGTCAGGGCGAAAGGGGGGAGTGGGGGAAGGCAGAGGTCTGCGATTGCATGCCATGGCAAGGCATGGAAAGGCCTGGCATAGCATGCATGGTATGGCATGGCACTGCATGGTATGGCATGGCATGGCATGCATGGTATGGCATGGCAATGCATGGTATGGCATGGCATGGCATGTTAATGAGCCCACCTTGAGAGCGGCTCGGTCGTCAGCATGCATGCGACCATCCAGATGCACCTGATGGTTCGGATGGGGTGGGATGGGGTGGGATGGGGTGGGATGGGGTGGGATGGGGTGGGATGGGGTGGGATGGGGTGCGATCGGGTGCGATAGGCTGGGTGGGATAGTGGGATGATGAGGTGGGATGGTCGCATGGCAACGCATGGGGTGGCATGGTACGGCGTACAAGGATGGAGAGTGCATGATGGGTGGAGTAGGAAATGCACAGCATGGCATGGCATGGCATGGCATGGTATGGCATGGCATGGTGATATGCATAACACTGAGGGCCAAAAGGTAGCCAGCTACGTGTCACTCAGAAATACAGCCACGTGCCAGCACGTGTCAACAGGGGACTCACAGCAAGAAACGGTGGAGAGTGGGGTGATGCACGCAGGTCAGCCAACGCACGCTGCAGCACCTGAGGGAAATGCAGTGGCGTGGGAAGGTGTGGGAAGGAGGGGAGGTGGGTTTGAAGGAACTCAAATCACGCCGCCAGCAGTGGGAAGGAGGGGACGAGCTAAAGCCACTAACCAGAGATTTGCCGCATCCTCTGGGTCCGAGAAGAAGCAGCGAGAGGCACAGCCCATCGCACGCCACGTCGCGCAGCATGCCGTGCAGCCGCTCGCGATTGCTCTCGTTTTCCGCCGTCAGAATCACCTCCCGCACGCGCCTGCTGCTGTCGCTCTCCGCGCTCTCCCCACTCTCTCCCCTCTCGCCGCGCTCCCCATTCTCCCCGCGCTCTCCGCGGCTCGTCACGGCGCTCGGCTGCCACGTCAGCCGCTCCTTCAGCACTCGCACCGCCACGGCCGCGTCGTCCTCCTCCATGCCCGCCGCGTTCGGCGGCGCGTTTTGCGGCGGGACACTGCTGCCTGCGCCGCTCTAGTCGCGAGGTCAAGGTGGCTTTAGACGCTTCGAGCCGGTCTAATGTGGTCAATTTCAGTCTAATGCGGTCTGAAGGGCTACTTGCATCGCCAGCTGCAGCGGGTGCTAGACTGCTAGTCTAGGATTTAGGGGAGGGGAAATTGAGAAACCCTAGTTTGAGTTGAACATCGGAGCCTGAACCACGATTTGGAAGATTTATGCGAATTTGAGACTTGCACTTGCAAACCCGAAACCCTAACTTCTAGCTTCGCGACGAAATCACCAGCCCCATTATTGATCGCTATCAACCATCAACCGTAACAGTCCTATCAGCGTTCAGACGACCGATAGTTCGCCGTGCGACGGCGTGTGCGACGTTGCCGAGCGACGAGCATGGACGCTGCGAATCTGAAGCTCGCGGAGGGGCTGGTGTCGCCGTCGTACGTGCGACAGGGCGCGCAGTCGCTCGCGCAGCGACACAACATGGTGCGATTGCCACGTGACAATCAGTCATATCTAGTCGGCTTATCCGTTTAGACTACCTTACTGAACCTGCATATCCTCGAACATAATACTTTGTCAAACATAGTGAGCTGCATCTGGTCGTAGCTACTTGGTGAAGCCATTTATGGTTCAAGGTCTCTAACTGTGAATGTCATCACGAACCATGGAAGCTTACCTTTAAGTAAAAACCTTGCATGCCTGCCCGCCACGTGGCACATGGCATGGCAGGTGAAGAGCCTGTTATCGCAAAGGAAGCTCCCAAGGGACGGCTGGGATGACGACACGATCGAGATGCTTCTCAAGGTGAGGAGCGACACACAGAACTGCACACGGCACTGGGTTGATTCTCAAGGTGAGAAGCACGAGACAGCAATGAAATGCTGCTGAAAGTGAAATCCTTCTGCTCCTTGTGCAATCCTTTAGAGTATTCTCAAAAGTGACTGGAATTCCACAACCACCTCATCATGAGATAAGGATGGTCCCAAGGATGGTCCCAAGGATGGTCCCAAGAATGGTCCCAAGGAGAAAAGAACATCAGCCCTTGACACTGTTGCAAATAAAGGATGATCCCGAGGAGAAAGGACACCTGTCCACATTCCATCCCATGCCCACCTCCATCACATTTGCACCAGGACCTGTCACTGATGGACAGCAGTGGGTTCAAGGGGAATGTGGGCATGGGGGAGGGGGAGGATTTCCGAGTCAAATTAATACCCTCGTGTGCTGATTTCACCACCCCACCTCCAACCCATCCCCACACATGACGCACCAGGACCTGTCACTGATGGATAGCAGTGGGTTCAGGGGGGGCGTGGGCATGGGGGAGAGGGAGGCGCGGTGTGCAAGTGGGCTGGTGAGGCGGCGACACTTTGGGATGACGCACGGCATGGGGCGATCGGGGAACATTGCAGACGAGCAGCCTAAGGTGGGCTCCGAGACCACTCTTCATGGCATGACAATGCAGTAGCCAATATGAGATGAGTCTGTTATGACACTACGGCATGAAGCATGGCATGGGGATGGGGCGGTCGGGGAATACCGCAGACGAGCAGCCTGAGGTGGGATGTGAGTCTGCACCTCATGGCATGTGTGTGTCATGCCTATAAGTGAGGCACTTGGGCATGACGCATGGCATGGGGCGAGTAGGGAGCATTACAGATGAGCAGCCAAAGGCTTTTGAGTCGACTCAAAAGGGAGCATTACAGATGAGCAGCCAAAGGCTTTTGAGTCGACTCAAAAGGGAGCATTACAGATGAGCAGCCAAAGGCTTTTGAGTCGACTCAAAAGGGAGCATTACAGATGAGCAGCCAAAGGCTTTTGAGTCGACTCAAAAGGGAGCATTACAGATGAGCAGCCAAAGGCTTTTGAGTCGACTCAAAAGGGAGCATTACAGATGAGCAGCCAAAGGCTTTTGAGTCGACTCAAAAGGGAGCATTACAGATGAGCAGCCAAAGGCTTTTGAGTCGACTCAAAAGGGAGCATTACAGATGAGCAGCCAAAGGCTTTTGAGTCGACTCAAAAGGGAGCATTACAGATGAGCAGCCAAAGGCTTTTGAGTCGACTCAAAAGGGAGCATTACAGATGAGCAGCCAAAGGCTTTTGAGTCGACTCAAAAGGGAGCATTACAGATGAGCAGCCAAAGGCTTTTGAGTCGACTCAAAAGGGAGCATTACAGATGAGCAGCCAAAGGCTTTTGAGTCGACTCAAAAGGGAGCATTACAGATGAGCAGCCAAAGGCTTTTGAGTCGACTCAAAAGGGAGCATTACAGATGAGCAGCCAAAGGCTTTTGAGTCGACTCAAAAGGGAGCATTACAGATGAGCAGCCAAAGGCTTTTGAGTCGACTCAAAAGGGAGCATTACAGATGAGCAGCCAAAGGCTTTTGAGTCGACTCAAAAGGGAGCATTACAGATGAGCAGCCAAAGGCTTTTGAGTCGACTCAAAAGGGAGCATTACAGATGAGCAGCCAAAGGCTTTTGAGTCGACTCAAAAGGGAGCATTACAGATGAGCAGCCAAAGGCTTTTGAGTCGACTCAAAAGGGAGCATTACAGATGAGCAGCCAAAGGCTTTTGAGTCGACTCAAAAGGGAGCATTACAGATGAGCAGCCAAAGGCTTTTGAGTCGACTCAAAAGGGAGCATTACAGATGAGCAGCCAAAGGCTTTTGAGTCGACTCAAAAGGGAGCATTACAGATGAGCAGCCAAAGGCGTGCACTCATACGTCGGCCATTCCGCCATCATACCTACCATGCCATGTGCCATGTACCATCCCCCATATCCCATGTACCATCTCCCATATCCCATGTACCATCTCCCATGTCCCTTGTACCATCTCCCATATCCCATGTACCATCTCCCATGTCCCATGTACCATCTCCCATATCCCATGTACCATCTCCCATATCCCATGTACCATCTCCCATGTCCCATGTACCATCTCCCATATCCCATGTACCATCTCCCATGTCCCATGTACCATCTCCCATGTCCCATGTACCATCTCCCATATCCCATGTACCATCTCCCATGTCCCATGTACCATCTCCCATATCCCATGTACCATCTCCCATATCCCATGTACCATCTCCCATGTCCCATGTACCATCTCCCATATCCCATGTACCATCTCCCATATCCCATGTACCATCTCCCATGTCCCATGTACCATCTCCCATGTCCCATATATGTACCATCTCCCATGTCCCATACACCCCCACCCATCCACCCCCACCCATCCACCAGGCAGCAGGGTCAACGCTAGCATGTCGTCTCACCAGTCTGTTCCGGAAGGATGCCCTCTGGCTCGCAGGTCTCCAAAAAAGTCCTCCATGTGACTTCTGCTCCCCCTGTGCCACTGTGTCCCATGTACCATCCCAATCCACCAGGCAGCTGGGTCAACGCTGGCATGCCGCCTCACCAATCTGCTTGTCAAGGACGCCCTCTCTCTTCCAGGCCTCAAAGCTTCTCCCATATACGCGCTGTGTGTGCTGTGTGCGCTGTGCCATGTGCCATGTCCCGTCCACCATCTCAATCCACCAGGCAGCGGGGTCAACACTGGCATGCCGCCTCACGAACCTACTCGTGAAGGACGCCCTCTCCCTCGCAGGCCTCAAAGGTAACTCCCTATTTTATATGAGGCGATTGGTTTTCATCGGTCTTTAAGTCGACTCAAAAACCGCCTCACGAACCTACTCGTTAAGGACGCCCTCTCCCTCGCAGGCCTCAAAGGTAACTCCCTATTTTATATGAGGCGATTGGTTTTCATCGGTCTTTAAGTCGACTCAAAAACCGCCTCACGAACCTACTCGTTAAGGACGCCCTCTCCCTCGCAGGCCTCAAAGGTAACTCTCTATTTTATATGAGGCGTTTGGTTTTCACCGGACTGATCGTGCTCCATGTGTATGCTCGTGCATGTATGTCACCGTGCACATATGTCATCCTTATGTGGCGGTCTGTCCCCCATCCGTCAGACATATCGGCAGTGACGGTGCTGCCGGTGGCAACAGGCATGGCCCTCACTCTCTCTCTCCTCGCTCTCAAAGCCAGCAGACCTGCCGCACAGTAAGTGAGTGATGGAGCGAGGGAGGGAGGGAGGGAGGGAGGGAGGGAGGGAGGGAGGGAGGGAGGGAGGGAGGGAGGGAGGGAGGGAGGGAGGAAGGGAGTGAGGGAGGGAGGGAGGGAGGGAGGGAGGGAGGATGGGAGGAAGGGAGGGAGGGAGGAAGGGAGGGAGTGAGGGAGGGAGGGAGGGAGGGAGGGAGGGAAGGAGGGAAGGAGGGAGGGAGGGAGGGAGGGAGGGAGGGAGGGAGGGAGGGAGGGAGGGAGGGAGGGAGGGAGGGAGGGAGTGAGGGAGGGAGGGAGGAAGGAAGGGAGTGAGGGAGGGAAGGATGGAATCTGTTGACTGAGCAAATAGGCATCTGCCATCTGCATGCTGTTCAGTGTTTCCAATGTGCTGTGACGCGGCACACTGATGGCATGGGATGGCATGGCATGGCATGTGCCCTATGGCATGGCGTGGCAGGTACGTGCTATGGTCTCGCATCGACCAGAAGACATGCCTCAAGTGCATCGTCACTGCTGGCCTCACTCCCGTGGTGGGTGAATGAAGAGTGAAGCACCAAGTTCCCACTCAGAAATACTCAAACACACAACACAAGTACAGAGCTTTGTCCCACACACAACACACAAATACATGCTCTGGGCCCACCCGCATGCCTCAAGTGCATCGTCACTGCTGGCGTCACTCCCGTGGTGGGTGAATCAAGCATGCGTTGATATGCACCAAGTTACTCAGTTCTCGAGACACACGTGCTATGGTCCGTGCTACTGTGGTTGCACCCACATACACATGCCTGAAGTGCGTCCTCACTCCTGCTGGTCCGAACCTGCTTTGCACTCCGAACTGCAAGAGTGAGACCTCATACACTGCCAGCCTCACTCCTGCAGTCCGAACCCCCTCCCCCGCAACCCATCCCAGGTGGTTCCTCTGCACAAGGACGGAGACCAGCTGTGCACGGACCTTGCAGCCATGGAAAGGGAGGTGCACTCCCGAGGGGCGTACGCACAGGACAGCAAGGTCCGTGCACAGCAAGGTCCGTGCACAGCAAGGTCCGTGCACTCCCCAAATGTCCCAAGGAACAGGCCCTTGGCACACATACACCCCCAACCCCCCTCTCCTCAACCCATCCCAGGTGGTTCCCCTGCGTCAGGACGGAGACCAGCTGTGCACGGACCTTGCGGCCATGGAAAGGGAAATAAATTCTCGAGGGGCCGACAGCATCCTCTGCGTTCTCTCAACCACCTCCTGCTTCGCTCCCAGGTGATTTTCCAGGCTTATTGAAAGCGCCCGACTTCTCGAAAGAGTTCCTGACAGCGCTGAATCGATTGCCCGCCTCTGTTCCTGTCTTGCCATCCCCCGCCTCTGTTCCTGTCTCGCCATCCCCCGCCTCTGTTCCTGTCTCGCCATCCCCCGCCTCTGTTCCTGTCTCGCCATCCCCCGCGTCATCAACAACGCATTCGGCGTGCAGAGCGCTGCTATCAGCGCTCACATGGACTGGTATCCCCTGCCGCCTCCTGCTGCCCCCATCAGGGCTCCTGATACTGTCCAGCCCATGGCACGCAGAGTCAGAGTCAAGTACGGCGTGCAGAGCGCTGCTATCAGTGCTGCCATCACACGAGCTCTGTCATCCTCTCACCACGTCCCTCCCACTCACCCCTGTCAGGGCTCCTGATAACGTCGAGCCCATGGCACGTCCTGATAACGTCGAGCCCATGGCACGTCCTGATCACGTCGAGCCCATGGCACGTCCTGATAACGTCGAGCCCATGGCACGTCCTGATCACGTCGAGCCCATGGCACGTCCTGATAACGTCGAGCCCATGGCACGTCCTGATCACGTCGAGCCCATGGCACGTCCTGATCACGTCGAGCCCATGGCACGTCCTGATCACGTCGAGCCCATGGCACGTCCTGATCACGTCGAGCCCATGGCACGTCCTGATAACGTCGAGCCCATGGCACGTCCTGATAACGTCGAGCCCATGGCACGTCCTGATCACGTCGAGCCCATGGCACGTCCTGATAACGTCGAGCCCATGGCACGTCCTGATCACGTCGAGCCCATGGCACGTCCTGATAACGTCGAGCCCATGGCACGTCCTGATCACGTCGAGCCCATGGCACGTCCTGATCACGTCGAGCCCATGGCACGTCCTGATCACGTCGAGCCCATGGCACGTCCTGATCACGTCGAGCCCATGGCACGTCCTGATCACGTCGAGCCCATGGCACGTCCTGATAACGTCGAGCCCATGGCACGTCCTGATCACGTCGAGCCCATGGCACGTCCTGATAACGTCGAGCCCATGGCACGTCCTGATCACGTCGAGCCCATGGCACGTCCTGATCACGTCGAGCCCATGGCACGTCCTGATAACGTCGAGCCCATGGCACGTCCTGATAACGTCGAGCCCATGGCACGTCCTGATCACGTCGAGCCCATGGCACGTCCTGATAACGTCGAGCCCATGGCACGTCCTGATCACGTCGAGCCCATGGCACGTCCTGATAACGTCGAGCCCATGGCACGTCCTGATCACGTCGAGCCCATGGCACGTCCTGATCACGTCGAGCCCATGGCACGTCCTGATCACGTCGAGCCCATGGCACGTCCTGATCACGTCGAGCCCATGGCACGTCCTGATCACGTCGAGCCCATGGCACGTCCTGATCACGTCGAGCCCATGGCACGTCCTGATCACGTCGAGCCCATGGCACGTCCTGATCACGTCGAGCCCATGGCACGTCCTGATAACGTCGAGCCCATGGCACGTCCTGATAACGTCGAGCCCATGGCACGTCCTGATCAAGTCGAGCCCATGGCACGTCCTGATCACGTCGAGCCCATGGCACGTCCTGATCACGTCGAGCCCATGGCACGTCCTGATCACGTCGAGCCCATGGCACGTCCTGATAACGTCGAGCCCATGGCACGTCCTGATCACGTCGAGCCCATGGCACGTCCTGATCACGTCGAGCCCATGGCACGTCCTGATCACGTCGAGCCCATGGCACGTCCTGATAACGTCGAGCCCATGGCACGTCCTGATAACGTCGAGCCCATGGCACGTCCTGATCACGTCGAGCCCATGGCACGTCCTGATCACGTCGAGCCCATGGCACGTCCTGATCACGTCGAGCCCATGGCACGTCCTGATAACGTCGAGCCCATGGCACGTCCTGATCACGTCGAGCCCATGGCACGTCCTGATCACGTCGAGCCCATGGCACGTCCTGATCACGTCGAGCCCATGGCACGTCCTGATCACGTCGAGCCCATGGCACGTCCTGATAACGTCGAGCCCATGGCACGTCCTGATCACGTCGAGCCCATGGCACGTCCTGATCACGTCGAGCCCATGGCACGTCCTGATCACGTCGAGCCCATGGCACGTCCTGATCACGTCGAGCCCATGGCACGTCTCTGCCACAGTCTCTCCATCCCACACGTCATCAACAACGAGCATGGCGTGCAGAGCGCTGCCATCAGCGCTCACGTCACGTGAAGTGCTGCCCCCTGCATCCCGTCTCCTGCTCCCATCCCACTCAGAGCTCCTGATCATGTGGAATCTATTGCTCGCCTCTGTGCTCGTCTCTCCATCCCCCACGTCATCAACAACGCATACGGCGTGCAGAGCGCTGCCATTAGTGCTGCCATCACACGCGCATGGAGGAGGGGGCGGGTGGATGCAGTGGTGCAGAGCACCGATAAGAACTTTCTTGTTCCGGTCGGTGGGGCTGTTGTTGCCGCTGGTCCTGGGCGGTCAACACTGGTCAATGCAGTCAACGCCTCGTACCCCGGTGGGTGGGTGGAATGAGATGGACGAGGGGCCATGGAGGAGGGGGCTGGAGGTGTGGAAAAGGGAGAGGGGGGGTGGGGGGAGGAAAGGGCCGTGGCAGAGCGGGCATGAGGAAGGGGCGTGGAGGAAGGGGTATGGAGGAGAGCGACTGCTGCAGTAGTGCAGCAACCTTCTTCCCCACGCTTTGCACTTCACATGCCAAACCCATGCCCCATCCCACACCCCATCCCACACCCCATCCCACACCCCATCCCACACCCCATCCCACACCCCATCCCACACCCCATCCCACACCCCATCCCACACCCCATCCCACAACCCCATCCCACACCCCATCCCACACCCCATCCTACACCCCATCCCACACCCCATCCCACAACCCCATCCCACACCCCATCCCACACCCCATCCCACACCCCATCCCACACCCCATCCCACAACCCCATCCCACACCCCATCCCACACCCAATCCCACACCCCATCCCACACCCCATCCCACACCCCATCCCACACCCCATCCCACACCCCATCCCACACCCCATCCCACACCCATCCCACAACCCCATCCCACACCCGATCCCACACCCATCCCACACCCCATCCCACACCCCATCCCACACCCCATCCCACACCCCATCCCACACCCCATCCCACAACCCCATCCCACACCCCATCCCACACCCCATCCCACACCCCATCCCACACCCCATCCCACACCCCATCCCACACCCCATCCCACACCCCATCCCACACCCCATCCCACACCCCATCCCACACCCCATCCCACACCCCATCCCACACCCCATCCCACACCCCATCCCACACCCCATCCCACACCCCATCCCACACCCCATCCCACACCCCATCCCACACCCCATCCCACACCCCATCCCACACCCCATCCCACACCCCATCCCACACCCCATCCCACACCCCATCCCACACCCATCCCACACCCCATCCCACACCCCATCCCACACCCCATCCCACACCCCATCCCACACCCCATCCCACACCCCATCCCACACCCCATCCCACACCCCATCCCACACCCCATCCCACACCCATCCCACACCTCCCACACCCCATCCACACCCATCCCACACCCCATCCCACACCCCATCCCACACCCCATCCACACCCATCCCACACCCCATCCCACACCCCATCCCACACCCCATCCCACACCCCATCCCACACCCCATCCCACACCCCATCCACACCCCATCCCACACCCCATCCCACACCCCATCCCACACCCCATCCCACACCCCATCCCACACCCCATCCCACAACCCCATCCCACACCCCATCCCACACCCCATCCCACACCCCATCCCACACCCCATCCCACACCCCATCCCACACCCCATCCACACCCCATCCACCACCCCATCCCACACCCCATCCCACACCCCATCCACACCCCATCCCACACCCCATCCCACACCCCATCCCACACCCCATCCCACAACCCCATCCCACACCCCATCCCACACCCCATCCCACACCCCATCCCCACACCCCATCCCACACCCCATCCCACACCCATCCCACACCCCATCCCACACCCCATCCCACACCCCATCCCACACCCCATCCCACACCCATCCCACACCCCATCCCACACCCCATCCCACACCCCATCCCACACCCCATCCCACACCCCATCCCACACCCCATCCCACACCCCATCCCACACCCCATCCCACACCCCATCCCACACCCCATCCCACACCCCATCCCACACCCCATCCCACACCCCATCCCACACCCCATCCCACACCCCATCCCACACCCCATCCCACACCCCATCCCACACCCCATCCCACACCCCATCCCACACCCCATCCCACACCCCATCCCACACCCCATCCCACACCCCATCCCACACCCCATCCCACACCCCATCCACACCCCATCCACACCCATCCCACACCCCATCCCACACCCATCCCACACCCCATCCCACACCCCATCCCACACCCCATCCCACACCCCATCCCACACCCATCCCACACCCCATCCCACACCCCATCCCACACCCCATCCCACACCCCATCCCACACCCCATCCCACACCCCATCCCACACCCCATCCCACACCCCATCCCACACCCCATCCCACACCCCATCCCACACCCCATCCCACAACCCCATCCCACACCCATCCCACACCCCCATCCCACACCCCATCCCACACCCCATCCCACACCCCATCCCACAACCCCATCCCACACCCCATCCCACACCCCATCCCACACCCCATCCCACACCCCATCCCACACCCCATCCCACACCCCATCCCACACCCCATCCCACAACCCCATCCCACACCCCATCCCACAACCCCATCCCACACCCCATCCCACACCCCATCCACACCCCATCCCACACCCCATCCCACACCCCATCCCACACCCCATCCCACACCCCATCCCACACCCCATCCCACACCCCATCCCCACACCCCATCCCACACCCCATCCCACACCCCATCCCACACCCATCCCACACCCCATCCCACAACCCCATCCACACCCCATCCCACACCCATCCCACACCCCATCCCACACCCCATCCCACACCCCATCCCACACCCCATCCCACAACCCCATCCCACACCCCATCCCACACCCCATCCCACACCCCATCCCACACCCCATCCCACACCCCATCCCACACCCCATCCCACACCCCATCCCACACCCCATCCCACACCCCATCCCACACCCATCCCACACCCCATCCCACACCCCATCCCACACCCCATCCCACACCCCATCCCACACCCCATCCCACACCCCATCCCACACCCCATCCCACACCCCATCCCACACCCCATCCCACACCCCATCCCCCATCCCATCCCCCAGGTCACCCCACCCCAGGCCGTGCCTCCATATCGGCCATCCTAGACGTCCTCATAACCCTCCTCTCCCTGGGGGCGAGCGGGTGGCAGGCGCTGGTGCCGCTGAAGGAGCAACTCACTCCTTTACCCCGCCCCACCTCACCACAACCCACCACACTCCACCCCACCCCACCCCACCCCACCCCATCCCACCCCAGGCCGGGCGTCCATCTCGCCCATCCTAGACGTCCTCATAACCCTTCTCTCCCTGGGGGCGAGCGGCTGGCAGGCGCTGCTTCAGGAGCGAGAGCAGCTCTTCCCTTACCTGAGGGAGAAGATGCGAGGGGTGGCAGAGAGGCATGGTGAGTGGTGTGGTGTTATGTGGAAACGGCAGTAGCCTATCTGGTGGTCTCTGGTGTATGTACAGCATCTCTGTGCTGTGCTGCAGCAGAGGGAGCAGCTCTTTCCTTACCTGAGTGAGAAGATGCGAGGGGTGGCAGAGAGGCATGGTGAGTGGTGTGGTGTTATGTGGAAACGGCAGTAGCCTATCTGGTGGTCTCTGGTGTATGTACAGCATCTCTGTGCTGTGCTGCAGCAGAGGGAGCAGCTCTTTCCTTACCTGAGGGAGAAGATGCGAGGGGTGGCAGAGAGGCACGGTGAGTGGTGTGGTGTTATGTGGAAACGGCAGTAGGCTGCCCGGTACTGTCTGGTTTAGCAATGGCAGTCGCTGCTGCAGGAGCGAGAGCAGCTGTTTCCTTACCTGAGGGAGAAGGTGCAAGGGGTGGCAGAGAGGCTTGGTGAGAAGTCTTAGCAACAGTAGAAGCCTCCCCACCACATATCTCCTCCCCCTTCCCCTCGTGCCATCCTTGACATATACAGGAGAGAGGCTGCTGCAGTCGCCACACAACCCCATCTCCCTAGCCATCTCCCTCTCCTCCCTCATCAAATGTCACCTTTTCCCTGTCACACCTCCTCGTATACCCTCCCCCTCCCCCTTGTGCTAAAACTTATCTCTACAGGAGAGCGGCTGCTGCAGTCGCCAGACGACCCCATCTCCCTCTCCTTCCTTACTAGATGTCACCCCCACCACGTATCACCTCCCCCACGTACCACCTCCTCCTCCCCCTTATCTCTACAGGAGAGCGGCTGCTGCAGTCACCAGACAGTCCCATCTCCCTAGCCATATCCCCGTCCTCCCTCATCAAATATCACCACCCCCACATATCACCTCCCCCTCCCCTGACAGGAGAGCGGCTGCTGCAGTCGCCAGACAATCCCATCTCCCTCTCCTTCCTTACTAGATGTCACCTCCCCCACGTATCACCTCCCCAATGTATCACCTCCCCCATGTATCACCTCCCCCTCCCCCATCCCTTAACAGGAGAGCGGCTGCTGCAGTCGCCAGACAACCCGATCTCCCTAGCCATCTCCCTCTCCTCCCTCGTCCCCGCTCACGCACATGCTGACGTGGCATGCGCTGCTGCTGACTCAGCACCGCCAGCCGTGTCAACGCCAGCTGTTGCTGCTGCTGCTGACATGGCTGGCTCGGAGCCCTCGTTGGCAACAACAGGGGAAACATCAGAGGAGCTAGCAGCTTCTGTGCTGTTGGCACCACCAGTAGCAGTATCATCAGCAGCACCACCACCAGTAGCATTACCACCAGCAGCAGCAGCAAAAGCAGCAGCAGCGGGTGTGGAGCAGAGGGAGACATTCGACTCGGGAGAACAAACCAGCTCACCAGCAGCAGCACCAACAGAATCAGCACCACCACCTCCAAAACCACCAGCAGCAACAGCAGCAGCAGCAGCGGGTGTGGAGCAGAGGGAGACATTTGACTCAAGACAACTCACCATCCCACCGGGAGCAGCCGCCTCACCCGCCACTGCCGCTTCTCTCGCCTCGCTTCTCTCCATCCCACCAACCCAAGCACCTGCATCCCTGCGTGATCCCTCTATAAAGACCTCGTCGCCCTCCACCCCCCCACCACACGCGTCCTCCACCCCCCCACCACACACGTCCTCCACCCCCCCACCACACACGTCCTCCACCCCCCCACCACACGCGTCCCCCACCCCCATCCCCTCTGCTGAGGCCACCTCTACCACCACCACTAAAGCGGAGACCACAAAAGCGCCCCTCAAGTCACCACCACAAGCCCCCCCCATCACGTTCCTGGGCTCGATGCTCTTCTCACGGTGCGTCTTTGCCTTTTTCGCCTCCCCTTTTCCATTGAGTTTTTCTTGATATAATCAATGTTAATCTGGGCCAAATTGTTTGTGCATCAAGTTTGTATCGAGTTATTCTGCAATGAATCATTCTCTAGCAAGTCAGTAAAAATGAAAAAAACAAAACAAAAACAAAAAAACAAAGAAACAAACAAAAAATCACATCTTGCTATTCCTCACTCCTTTCTCAGCCCCTCTTCCTCAGCCCCTCTTTCTCAGCCCCTCTTTCTCAGCCCCTCTTTCTCAGCCCCTCTTTCTCAGCCCCTCTTTCTCAGCCCCTCTTTCTCAGCCCCTCTTTCTCAGCCCCTCTTCCTCAGCCCCTCTTTCTCAGCCCCTCTTTCTCAGCCCCTCTTCCTCAGCCCCTCTTTCTCAGCCCCTCTTTCTCAGCCCCTCTTTCTCAGCCCCTCTTTCTCACACCCTTTTTTGCCCCTGTTTGTCTTACCCTCTTTCTTGCACCCTCTTTCTCTCGCCTCCCATCGCCCATGTCAGCTTTGTGTCAGGTTGCCGAGTCGTGCCGCAAGGTGTGAAGCAAACTATAGGAGGCGTGGCACTGCAAGGATTCGGATCATCTTATGATAGGTACACATCCTGAACGTAACACCTTGTCATCCGTGTTACGTATGTATCAAGTCAAATCCTGGTTACGCTGTGCTGAGTGTGTGCAGCTCATTTTATTGCTACCGATATTTGTTCTGTGCTTTGTCACAAACCCTGCAACCTATATCACTGGAACGGCATTAGCTGCTCCAGTACGGTTTTCATTGTTGACTCAAAACACATTTACCTTTCCATTTCTGTTGTTTTTGCTGCCTATCTCCTGTGTGTGAGGAAGCTACTCTGTACCGTATCTCACGGCAGCTGCTGCTATAGGAGGTTCAAAGGAAGAGGTGGACGACTTTATTGTCCGCCTTAATACCTGCCTTGTTGATTTCAAAAAGAAGTTGCGGAGTTCCCAAGGGCTGGAAAATCCTAAACCATAGACCCGGAGTTGATACTCTAAACCCAAATCCCGGTTTAGTCTGGCCAAGTCACAGTCAAGTTGACGAAAGAACAATATACGGTGATAATGGTGTAGTGCATTTATCTCGAATGTTGTACGATCTCTGTTAGCCATTGAACATAGGTTTTATAAGCACTGCCTCGGTCGACATCGAATCGAATGGGGGTCCACTTAAAACCAGGGTCTCACGTACCGTATTCTCCCGGACATAACACCCTAGGGTATAGCTAAAAATACAGGGAAAAAATGGGGGGGGGTCTCATAGGAAAAAAATACATAATACCCGGGTCTTTACATATGGCATATTTTAGTGTTAGTGTTTTTTTAATTAGTCAATGTGGGTGTTTTGCTGGTCGTTTTAGCATCACTGCCTGAGGTGCGAATGTCAGTTTCGGCCTCGAACTTCATCGCCCTCACGAAAATGCCATGTGACACCTCTCTTGCCACTTGCAACGGAAGATTCACCTGCACGTGGCAACAGAGAAATAGTGGGAGGGGGCAAATCTCGGCAGATTGCCTTTGAATGTACCGCGAAATTTCATTGAGGGAGAAATTCACACGATATTCTTCCGTATTGCAGCTACTCGTTAACGACTAAAATAATGAATCCGTAAGAAAAGGGGGGGGTTCTAGAAAATCAGCCAAAAAGGGGGGTATAGTAGAAACGAGGTCTATCATAACACCCACCCCGCACAAGCTACCCGGGGGTGTACAATTATGGGGGGGTGTTTTGTCCGGGAGTAAACGGTAAGAGAAATCGTGATCAACTGCAAAACAAATGAAGCCAAGTCACCCTGTTTGAGGTGGCGAAGTCCACAGGTTGGTTTGGCATTTGACTGTGCGACACCTCCCGTTTTTGCCTGTGATGCAATTGCAAAACATTTTGATGGTACATGAGACTGACAGGATGCTCGAACATTTTGCGGGTGTTTTAGCTTTGGCACCAAACCAATTTCCGTGCCTAGATGGTTCGGACACAAACTGCGATTTGTGTTTCCTTCGCTCCCCTCGTCGCACTCCTCGTCATTCTTTCCACCTCGCCAGCCAATCCTAACCAGGGTGAAGTCATCAACTGCAAAACAAATGATCTACGTGAGACCCTGGTTTTAACTATCAAAGGGGGATGGGAGGAGGAGTACCTAACCAAACATGCCATGGAAAACTCCTAGTTGTTTCAACACTATCAAGTCACCACCTCCATCCCCCTTCTGAATTTGTACGTCCCTTCTTTAGGATAATATACACTAGAACCATCTACAAGCATCACCGTTACCAGTATGCCAGATACTATATGCTGTTGAACAAGAATGAATGAACTAACAGTGAAATGAGTACAAGTATGAAAAACTAGGAATGTGTACCCCCTATAGGCTAACCCACTGTAGCCTAAACAACTACAACAACATATATAATGTTTGACACATCCCCATAGGCGAAGTGGGGGAGAACTAGGGGTCACAAGACCAGTCAAGTAAAGCAAAGCAAGCTCAGGGTGGATCACAACGTCACCACACAATCCGAGCACAAGTGCAAGGCCACAAGGCCAGTTCACATGCAGGAGTACATATATATATATAAGACTAAACAAGCAAGAGCAGTGATATATATATATATATATATGTAACAGGACAAAGAGAGTCAAGAGGAGAGCAAGTGAGGCAAGACAGACACAAGACCCAGCTGGGTACAGCAGCGTTGATGATCACAAGGCGGAAGTGCCTTGGTGAAGACATCAGCAGTGTTGGCCTCAGAGGCCACGTACGCAAGCCGCAACTGGCCACGCTGTTGTAGCTCACGAGCAAGGAAGTAGCGGAGAGCAATGTGCTTTGTTCTGTGCTCCAGTCTCTGCTCCCGACACAAGGCCAGCATGGCCTTGTTGTCGTCGTACAGGACTGGAGGAGAACGAGGCGGCTCTCCAAGGTCGGTCAGCAGGTAGGTGAGCCAGCGAAGCTCCTGAGCAGCCATGGCCCCTGCGTAGATCTCAGCCTCACAACTGGAGCCGAGAACAGAAGACGAGCGAGTAGCCCGCCACGAAACAGAGCCGGAACCAAGGCTGAAGGTGTAACCCTGTGACGACCGCTGCGTAGCCTGGTCGTCAGCCCAAGAAGCGTCTGCGTGTCCAGTGAGGACCACTGGACTCCGCCCTCCAAGCACAAGCCCCATGCCCGACGTACTGCACAAGTAGCGCAACACCCTCTTCGTTGCAGCCATGTGCTCTGGTCGGTGTCTCCCAGGAGCAACATAGCGCGCAAGAATGCTAAGAGGGTATGCAAGGTCAGGTCGTGTGCAGGTCATCAGGTACATGAGACAGCCAACAAGCTCTGGGTACGGGCCACTCGACTCTACGGACTCATCCGAAGGCAGAGCTGAGAGCGAGTGGCGAGTAGACAGAGGAGTGGCCTGAGGCGAGGAGTACGTGAAGCCGAAGCGCTGAAGGACCTGCTGCACCATGTGTGACTGAGTCAGGGTAATGGTGCGGCGTGCTCTATCCCGGGTGATCTGCAAGCCAAGGTAGCTGCGCAGTTCACCCAGGTCAGTGCACGTGTGTCTCTTCTGCAGCTCGGACTTCACGTAGGCGAGTCCAGTTGTGTCAGCTGTGGCAAAGACCAAGTCGTCGACGTACACGAGGATGTAGAACGGCGGCAGAGAGGTGTCGGTGCGCAGAAACAGCGACGGGTCGGCAGTAGAAGGAGCGAACCCAAGAGCCGCAAGCGTAGTCCTCAGTGTGTCGTGCCACTCACGTGGCGCCTGGCGGAGACCGTAGACTGGACGCCGGAGACTCCACTGGGTACCAGGAGGGAAAGACCCAGTGAAGCCAGGTGGGCGGCGCAGCCAGATCTCCTCGTGCAGGCTGCCCTGCAAGAAAGCTGTGCTGAAGTCGAGAGAGTGCAGCTCGTAGTCCCGGTGAGCAGCAACGTGCAGCAGTACCCGAAGAGTGGTCATCTTTGGGGTGGGGGAGAAGGTCTGAAAGTAGTCAACTCCCTGCCGCTGACTGAAGCCACGAGCCACGTAACGCGCCTTGAAGACAGGCGGAGAACCCGGCGGCCGCTTCACCCTGAAGATCCACATGCCACTGACGATGTTCGCCCCAGGAGGGGGGACAGCGTCAACGTAGGTGCCTGTGGACTTCCAGGAAGCCATCTCTGCATCCATAGCTGCCTGCCACTGAGAGGAGTAGGGATCCTCTATCGCCTCCGCGTAAGAGCGCGGAGTCGGGATGTCTGGTGCATCAGGGTCTCCCTGAGGGGTAAGCAGTACGGACACGAGATGAGGTGAAGCAGCGGCCAAGCACTGGAACTCCTCCTGCCTGTCCTCAAGGACGTCCGTGCCAAGGGCACACGCACCCCCGACGGACGGAGGACAGACAGACTCAGACTCAGCGACAAGACTCGCAGCGTAGTCTAGGCGACAGTGAGCAGCAAAGTCGACGAGCTCAGCAACTAGGGCAGACGCAGCAGAAGACTCGAAAGAAGGGTCAGTGACGGCAGTAGCAAGGAGACGCGTGACAGTAGGACTGGCAGCACGAAGAGAGTCCGACGCAGGGTCGGCGAGAGCAGGAAGAGAGGACGCAGGAGGAGAAGGCAAAGGGGCACGCAGAGGAGCAGTAGACGGACGTAGAGACATTCGGTGCGTGCCAGGGGCAGGAGGAGGACGCTGTCGCGAACTACGAGCACTAGCGCTAGCACGACGGACAGGCGACGCAGGACGAGACGCAGACTCACGACGCTCAGTAAGACCGCCAGTAGGACCAGTGTAAGGAGAAGGAGCAGGTAGTGGCGAGGTCGGCTGCAACTGTAACTGTGACGGGACAGGCTGTGAACACGCTAAGGGAGGAGGACCAGGAGGAGGCAAGAGACCAAGAACCTGCTGAAGGAGTGGAACGAAGTACGGCTGAGGGCGCGCGGCGTCTGCAGACACAGCAGGGACAGCACCTGTACCC